ACCGGTCCTAGCTGTTGAGTAATTCGACTCGGTCCTGACCAGTTACAACGGAATTTTGGTGCTAAATTCCTCCCTGGTAAAACTGGATTCTTCACATAAACTAAATCCCCGACTTGGAATTCTTTCTTCATCCTTTTTCTATTGTGCTTCTCGCATCTTTTCTTCATAACCTCTTGTCGATGGTACGGTACTGTATAAGGTCTCTTATTTATCATTGGCTGCACATCTTTTGTAATAATTCTTCGTTCTTTGACTCCCTTCTGGTCAACACTCCTTAATTGCAGGATTTCTTTCTTCTTCTTGGCTTGCTCAATTTCCGCTTCGTATGCTCTTCCGATTACAGATCTACTTCTTAGAGTTAATTCTTTCTCTGTTATATTGAATAACCTTACTGGGACTACACTGTCCTTCTTACACAAAACACGTGCCACTAGCAATCCTGCCAGAGCTTCCTCACATTGTTCGATAACTATGTGCTGAGCCTTAACCCTTGAAGCTGTGCGTAGAGTTGCTTGACACACTACTTGACTCATCGGTGGTATTATCCTCTCCTCTCTCAGAGTCACCAGAAAACCATCTTGGTTTCTGAATTTAACGTCCTTCACTGGACCTTCATTAGAATTCCTTTCTAATGGACCCTCAAAATTCCTTCGGAATTTTCCTGGAAGTTCACTGTCCTTCCTCTCCAAAACTGGTGCTACTGGCCAGCCTGTCGAAACTTCATCATATTGTTTTAATTTGTTTAATGTGTTGACCCTTAGCCTTTGAAGATCCGCGTAGGGTTCCATATGGCACACTTCATCAATCATCGGCGGTTTAATAACCTTCTTTCCCAGAGACGCCGGAAAACCTTCATCCAACAAAATCTCGTCCCTCATTGGACCTTCATTAGAGTTTTTATCTAATGGAAACAACAAAATCTCGTCCTTCACTGGACCTTCATTAAAGTTTTTTTCTAATGGTAACAACAAAGTCTCGTCCTTCACTTGACCTCTAATAACTTCATCCTGTCGAAGTGGAATGGATCTATGGAATTTACTGGAACTGGCCGGGTTCCTTGATGACCTCGTAGCTTCCTTTCGAAAAGTTTTGGGCTGATGGGCGCCTGTAGCTCCTGAACGACTACCAATCGCAGGTGGACTACGATCTTCCGTTATTGGTAGTAACGGAAAATCTTCTCTTCTTAGATCATCTCTCACTTTAACACCATTTCCATTCTTCTCCAAATTTTTCACATAATTTTTCAGTTCGTCTAGCTCCATTTCCAAGTTTCTAACTTTGTTCATCCACTCTTTTTCTCCTTTCTGCATCGCATACTCAGCATCAATATTTTCATCATACATTTGGATTTGCTTCTCAAAAGCATACATACAGTTGTACTGCCAATCTACTTTAATACCATATTGGCGCAGAAAATCTATTCCCAATAGTAAATCTGCCCTTAACGAATCTGTATTCACCACAATAAAATTGTGTCTCACAACGATGTCTCCTTCGAACATCACAGGTATATTTGCCATACCTCTTACAGGAATTTTATTTTCCTGTATATCCACCAAATTTACATCACATTTTTCTTTCTTGAACCCCTTGGCAATCTCGGGCTTAACTAGGGATACTACAGCTCCAGAATCTATTTAGGTACGACTTATCATTAACCCTAATCCTTACTAGCATGTATATATCCCTACCCATTTTTCTTCATTTAATCCCAACTTGCCTCGTTGGCAGCCACGTCTCGGGGTTGATAGGGGGCTGCGTTCAAGTTTAAATTCTGCCTATTCCCCGATTGCTGGGTAAAAGTGCTGACTTTCGTGCGGCAATTTTTAGCAAAATGCCCTTCCTTGTGGCATCTGAAACAAACAAGCGTACCTCTGTTACGTTGTCTGCTCATGTCCCTTAGTTTCTGACAATTTGGTCTCACGTGACCTTCGTGGTTGCAATTGTAGCACACCATTTTTCTAGCTTGTGGCGTTTCTCGGTTCCCACGGTCCTGACGGCTTGGGCCTGCTGTCTTCTTTTTATTCATAATTCCGCGGCATTCGCGACTGTGTGGCCTCAGAAAATTTTCGATCGATTCTTCCCTCTCAGCTATTTCTAATGCTTCGTCCAAGGTTGCTGGATTTCCTGAGAGTACACGTTGTTTAATCGGCATCAACAATCCTAGGGTAAATTGGGTAGCAATGTCTCCGAGTAATTTCCCTTCCAACAATTTATCTGTTGCTGGATTTCCGGTGAGTGTAGCGGTCCGGTGCCCCAATACCTTCAATCTAGTAAGGTATTGTCTACAAGCTTCACCTGTTCGTTGCTTGCATTCAAGGAACTGCTTCATAGCGGTCCCCTTCACATAATGCCTGCCAAACTGAGTTTTTAGACTGTCCTTTATTAGAGCCCAGCTTGTAGTGGTTTTGAGGGTTGGCTCGGCTTCGATAAATTGTCGAAGTCTAAGCTTTAGTCGAGCTATGGAAACCTTCTGGGTGTCTGACCAGTTAGCTAAAATACTGGTTTCTTCTAGAACATTTGAAAATTCTTCAGCACTAGTAGTTCCATCATAGGTAGGTATGGAATCTAATCCTATAAAAAGGTTAGGCATGGTGGTGTTGAATTGTGGTACGGGGCTAGGAGGGTTGGACATTTTTAACGTCGCTTGTTTAATGTCAACTCAAATTTAACTAATAAAATTACAGTTTCTCTCAATTCGAAAATTATTATTAACCCTACCGATGCTTTCACAATACAATTAAAATAACCTCCGAGTTGCTCTCAATGTACAAATAACAGACAACCCTACACAACTGACACCAATGTAGCAAAACGCCCCAAGTACTTACTCTATATAAATTAGTTAGATGGTAAATGGCGAGAGGTATATTGATGGTGTTTATATACTTGGAGTTGCTATTTAACAAGTTTCCAATATTTTAAGAAAACAATTCTATTTTATGTCATCAAGTTTCTTTTCAAAATTTCCTATTGCAATTAATAGTTTATCAGAACAAATTCTATTTTCGGATTCCTATGCCTAGCTAATAAATTCAACTGTTTAATTCATAATTCCAACTCAAAATTGTATACCTATTGTTAAATGCATTATAAGTACTCTTCATATTTTCTTTGCACATTTAAATGTCAATATATCTGAAGGTAATTAAAGTTATGCGATAATGTTTCCTTTATAAAACACTCAAGTTATTAATTTTATTGTAATAAAGTTCCACCGTGATTAAAGTCAAAAGTTTTTCTAGTAAAATTCACACAAAGTCATGTTCATCAAAAATAAATCTTGTCACTATAGAGTACTCACATTTTGTCCATAAAACACACGTAAAATTACTTAATTAATTACTCAAAATATTTCGCTAGCACGCACATAAATTATTGAACGAATTTCAAATGTTATTACTTTTACGATTTTCCGTAAATTTTCTAAGTTAAATTATACCCGAGGCCATACGCCGTAAAAGAAACTTTTCGTGAAAACGGACAGACTGGACTGCTAACAATGGGTAACTTGATGACTGGATGCAATACGTTAGCGTTAATTTGTTTTATTTTTAATTTATCGATACAGATTTAAAAATACCGGAATTAAATTTTGATTATTTAATAAAATTTAATTTTCACAGTAAAGACTTTGTAATTATCGGGTCAAATTTCTGGATCATCACAAGTACATTGCTGTAAGAAGGTTTGGCGTGTGATATAACTGGGGCTCATGAGGCCAGTTTTGTACTAAGCTCAAGGGCGATTCTGTTGTTGCATTAGTTAATTGTTGAATGCGATAGTTCAAATCTAAATTAAATTTTTCTGTTTGTCCAAACGCTAACATCGTAACATGATTGTGAATCACAAACAGGGCAGACCTGAATATCTGCGCGTCCAGTTCACTTAATTTTGTATGCTTTCGAGCGAATCTGGAATTGCATTTAGCATTGTTTCTGTTGATTTAGCTGTAGTAGAGTGTACTCTTTCATCAGATTCCTGGGAACTATGAACTATGTTTCTATCTAGGATAGAGGGGCTTGAACTAGGGCGAGGTCTTTTCTGAGAATTCATGTGATCCAAGAATATAGATTCATTCGCTAACACTTCATTATCAATTTCACTGTTTTCCTATGATTTTGGTGGAATCCCTACCATAGAATTTCGAGGCCTAAAAATTGTCCGTCCGAAGACTCTCTTTGCATAAATTATCTATTGGATTTATACCTCTGAGGATTTATATTATACCTAATCCCTTTTTTTGTTGCTGAGCCTTCAACATTCCTTTATCGATACCAATAATTTTATTAATTTCATCTTGGCTGATATTCGAAGAATCAAACGAAGTACTTCTGCCTTGATTAGAGATACCTGGTTTTACTGCTTCTTTTTCACTGTTTTTATCACTATTGAGTCCCAAGTCCCATGCTATTCAAAACACGACCGAAGTTCACAATTTTCAACCCTATCAACAAACCGAGTTGCATATTTCTATCTCGAGCCGTTAAGAAATGCCGCCGTGGGTAGTAGTTTCATTGTCACCCGGTATAGGTACCTACCACATTCTTTGGCACTACCAGGTAGGTATAAGTTTAAATAAAAATAGAAATAGCTTAACACCGAACTTGAGTCTGGTCCTAATAATTCATCAATGCCCTTAACAACTCCAACTCAATTTAGAATTTCTTCTGATAGTAAGACCACCAATTAAATTAGATCTTTAGTTTTTAGTTTTTTTTTGTGTTAGCTAGTAGATAGTTATATATTTATTTTTTTTAAATTTGTTGAACTATTAACTTATTAGGGGTGAAGTGTGTATTGCTGTACAGTGAACACATCATTGGAAGACACCTACGAGTGTGTACGAGCTTTAAAGCAGGGAGATAATTGCCGTTATAGTTAGTTTACCAGTCGTTTTAGTTAGTTACAAAAATCAATAGATAGGGTCTCACTCTCTATGGTTTCACTTCGTTCTTTAAAACATATCCTTAATAATTCGTAAATAAAACCAATACACATTATATCAAAACACTTTATTTATATTTTATTGTTATGTGAAATACCTATAAAAATATGTTACACAATACATTAAGTAAATTAATGCCTTTATTAATTGATTCCCAATAATTGAAAATACACCAATACAACTTAGATATTTATTTATAGATGTTAACAAAACAAGACTTTTCCATTCAGGACGTGAATTTTCCTTCTATTTTGAATAAAAATTGTATGGCTATCCACATTTTGCTAGAATTCGACTTGGACTAAAATTGAAAAAAACATTTGTAGACAAAATAGAGGATTTTTGTGAAATTATTGTTAATATTAGCATTTGATTAAAGTGCTTTGCCATTAAGTGCACCTAAATATCTTATTTTAGAGCTATACTGACAATTGAAAATAACTTGATTTTCCCAAGTATGTATAAGCAAAAAGCTTGCAGTAGTGATTGAAAATTTACTTGAGTAATGCCTGTATTACATCTGTGTATTTATTCATGGAGTTCAGGGTGACAACCAAAAAACTTCAAACGCAACATAAATCAGCATTATGAAAAACAAAATAATGTTGGCACCCTGAACTACATGAATAAATACGTGGAAAAATACACAGATGTAATACGGGCATATAACTTTTTCGAAACATCTTATGCATTTTTATTTAGCTGCCATAAGTATACTTACCTCTAATTAGTAATTACCAAAAGTTTGGCTTTTATACACAAATTCAACATATACTGTCAATTTTTTTTTTTGTATAAAGTAACTGACAAAATAATACTTATACAAGCCTTGAAATTTTAGACATTATGATAAGTTTATTAACCTTCAAAATGTATCACAGATTCAAATATTTATCACCAACAGTAGTAAATTTAACATTTCTAATCAAAATTATCATATAAATTGTAAAAATTAACTCATTTTTCACACCCTATAAATCGATGCACCGCACTGAAAATTTTATTTCCCGGAGTGTCTGTGATTTTTTATAGGGCCAGGGTAAAAGCAAACATATATAACACAATCTTGGAGGATTTCTCTCACTTTTCACAGTTTTTCTAGAAAAAATTATAAAAACACTTAACAAGACCTGATAAAAATCAGAATGTCTCAAAATATCACAATAATTTTGATGTTTCCTGAGAATTATCATTCTTGTACACACAAAACTGAACCAAGTTAATATGCTTGATTGTGCATAAACTTCGTAAGCTACACATTTTGCTGGAATCATACAAGGAACGCATGAAGTGCTCTAAATATATAAACTTACAAAACAATGAATCGATTTTGCAAAACAGCTCTACAGAATTTTTTCTCTGGGTGTAAGAAGCAATATTTAAAGTAAATTTACTTTAAAAAAAAAAGCAACATAGATTTGAAAATGAAACTTAAAGAAAATCCCTACAAAATTATAAATAAATTATTGCTCTTGCTCCGTGAACGATTAATTTTCAAATGTATGTCTAGAAATTATACATCCCTCTGATGTTATTCCAAAAAATTTGCTAATTACACTGACACTCTGGCCATTTTTGATGCAAACAAGGAATAACTCTATTCTTCCTCTCCTGTTTCACAGAAAAACATATTTCAATTGCTATTACTCAAGCAGATGTTAGTTTTACTAAACTTTTCTTTGGCTTACTTTCGAGATTCTGCATATCTATTCAATGCAGGACAAAGAATTCAATCCCCCTCTATGCACATCAGCTACAAATACTTAAAATAAATCAAAATAAGAACTTTATTACCTTTCCGAACAAAATTACTATATTTATGATATTTCAAATAATTTATACCCAACATGCAAAGAGGAGGATTGACTTTTTGTCCTGCCCGAACATGATTTTATTTTGCAAAATCGAATCACTGCCATTTGTAGGCTCGCCCCTACTATACAAAACAATCGGTACGTGGGGGCGCATTTTTCCCTAAATTTTTATCGTCCTGCCTCAATGGTAGTAAGGCCATTTCCCCTACTAAATCCTCACCCTCCTCATCATTATCATCGTCGTTTCTCGCGACATTCAAAAATACATCCTCCAAAGAAGCTTCACTGATAGCATAATCTTCAATCAATGTGGATTTCAGCTTTAGTTCTTCAAACAGGCCAAAAAGTTGCGACCATCTTTTTTCTTTAGATTCTATATAATAATGAATCATGCCCTAAAAAATTATTACTAAAGTCTGCCTAATCTTGTTGGATCAAGTACTTACTGAGTGCTCGTCTCTGATTTTTCCAGTTGGAAATTTCTCCTGAAGATGATCCTTCAGCTCAGTAATGGTTGTGATTTGTGGTCTGCCTGGTCCTCCATCTACGTCATCATAGCCTGCATCATTACCTTGTTTGAGCTTTAGCATCACATTAAAGCCGCATACTTCATTCTTTAGTTGAGCTATTGGACCTTCCTTCTTTATAGTTCCTTCTTTCATAATTTTTAAGCTAAAAATTGAATTTATCATTACACAATTTTTTATTTAAAAATACAAATACGTACTCGTTGCATACAGCCTCACATTCGGCCATACTGTGTGATGTCAAAATAAACGAGTTTTGTTTCATGTCTCGGATTTTTTTAATCAGAGACCAAAACTTCCGCCTGGATAATGGGTCGACGCCGTTGGTTGGTTCATCCAGCAAAATGAAATCTGGGAAACCGATCACGGCAACTGCAAAGCTCAGTCTGCGCTTGTTACCGCCGCTGTAATGTTCACATTTGATGTCGGCGATTTTTTTCAGACCTTAGTAAAACAAAATTAGGTTAAATGATGAGTGAAAATATAGTGGCTTCCAAAGCTGTATGGGTTGGTTTCAATTCAAATTGTCGTATTTTTCTCATTTTAAATGTGGCTTAAGATTATTGTGGCATTTGTCCTATTGTGTATCACGGAAATTTCTTCTGTTAAGCCGGGTCCAGACTATGTAACAAAACATGTTATATAACAAAGTTTTATAACTAGTTAGAGAATTTTGAATAAAAAAGTTATACAACACAGTGTTGTACATTTTGCTGGTTATAACTAAAGCATGTTCTATGTTATCCATCAGATGTTGGTAAAGATCAAAGGTCTTCATTGGCATCGCTGGTGTGTTGCTTGAGTAAAAATTAGGTGGAAATATTTTGTATAGGGGAACGGGGAACAAAGCAAATAAGGCAGGTACCTATATAACTGAATGAATTGGAATTGTTGCTAAGGTTTACTATGTCGTCGTCGGAATGTTTCAAGTGTCAGGCTGAATGTGTGCTTAGGGCACAACCAAATGACGATGAACTCTTTGGTTCAAATTGCGATTCCTGATCAAGGAATATCGGTAGGCAATGTGTTGGGATTAATACTACAGAAGCTCATGCTATTTCTCTGTCACAACGAACTCTTTTGCTCTACTGCCCAGACTGTAAAACCAAAAATGAAAGCAAGTCTGATCTAAAATTGATAACTCAACTCCTTGAGAGCGCGAAGATTGAACTTTCTGAAAGGGATGTGCGAGTTGTGAAACTGGAAAGTGAGCACACATTGGAGGTTGAGAGCCTCAAAGAGCATGTAAATGAGCTTAAGCTTGAAGGCTTTGACCAGTATATTGCCAGGTTAAACCAAAGAACCACTGGCGTCGAAGATGAAGCTTACAATTACTAACAGGAATGAATGAGCTTGAACAAAGAATTTGTTAATTTTCAAAGGAAAAATATATAATAATAATAATAATAATAATAATAATAATAATAATAATAATAATAATATGTAATAATATTAATAATAATATTCCTCATTGCCAACAAAAATTGTATAAAAACAATACAAGCAACGTCACAAGGCTGATCCAACCAGCTGTTATCGATACAGACAATCATATGTTTTAGGGTATAACTAAAAAATAATATACAATTTGTTGGCACAGTGCTAAAATAAAATAAAATACATAAGAATAAATAGAGGATTTTTGATACACAATACTAAAATGTAAATTTAAAACAGTAAAATCATTTGAAGTGCAACCACTGGTAGACTGATTGCTTAAAACTATCCACATTTTCAATTGCTTTTATGTTATCTGGCAACATTCTATCAGCCTTAATGCCTATGAAGTAAGGGCGTCTCTCAAAAAATGTTGAGCAATGGAGAGGAATATTCAAGTCACCCCTGTTTCTGGTCGTCATAACCATATCAACTCCATAATATGCCTGATTGGTAGGAAACATGTGAATATTCCGCTTCACAAACAACACCCAAGATGCAAAGTACAGTGATGGAACTGTCAGCACCCCCAACTCAGTAAAAAAATGTTCACAAGAGGCTCTTGGATGTAGGCCCAGGATACATCTCAAGATCCGCTTCTGAAGTCTGAAAACGAGCGGTGCCCCCTCTGATGCGCTCCTAAAGCATATTCCATAACTGATAATTGATTGGATTTGACCAATGTAGAATAGCCAAACCAACTCGGGTTAAATGACCAGTCTCAGGAGACCACACAACCTACTCAACCTCAACTGAAGCGAATCAATATGAACTCCCCAATTCAGATTAGGGTCGATATGGAGTCCCAGAAACTTTATGTGATCAGTGAGCAGAACAGTCCTTCCATTCATTCGAACAAGAAGAGACTCCAAGTTATTCTGAGTCTTGGAAAAAACAATTAAACCTGTTTTGTTGGTGTTCAAACTCAGGTTCTTCCCAAACAGCCGATCTTCTGCCCAACAAATAAGACTTCAGCAGATTCGCTGCAGTACCTCTTAACACCATAATGGTTCAGTATACACAGCATCAGTGATGGTCAACTGTATCGAATGCCTTAGACTAATCGAAGTAGAGGCCTGTAACCTTAGAGTTCTTATCCAGTGGATCAGTTACATGTTTTATTGCATGGAAAATTGCCATATCAGTGGACATTTCAGGAATAAATCCAAATTTTTGCTTGCTCAATATGTTATGTCTAACCAGATGATTCATCACTTTCGAAAAAATGCCCCTCTCGAAAACTCTAGAGTCAGCAGGCAGAACTGATACTGGACGGTAGTTTCTCAGATCCTAACTATTTCCTTTCTTAAACACTGAAATCACTTCAGCACTTTTAAGAATATCAGGAAATACTTGAGTAGAAAGACACTTAAGAGCATCAGACAAAGGCTCAGACACACAGAGAGCTACAAAGTTTAACACATAGACAGGAACTCCATCAAGAACCGAAGAATACTTATTAGGGAGCGACATCAAAATGCTGAAAATCTTCTGTGGGTCAACTGGTTCCAGAAAAATTGATGGATAGTTGCCATTATTTTCAATAACGTATTCAGTCAGAGGATGAAAAGGCAGATCAAAATGATCAGCAAAGAGTTACAATCATCAACTGACATTCCATCTACCTTCAGTGATAATTGACATGATAATCAGATAAAAACTTCTTATATTTCTTTCTTTCCTTTTTGTAAATGTCATAATGAGCCCTACAGTTTGTGCATTTAAACCAGACATATAGGTCTTTGATGTACTTATTAGAGTATTTTCGAATTTCAAAATTTATCCAAAATGGTTTATTATTTTTGACTTTTGTGGAAGACATCGGAAATGCAATATTGAAATGATAATTGAAAATATTGAAGTATGCTGAGTATTTTCCTTGGACGCCATTTGACTGATACACCTCATCCCAATCCTCATTTGACAGATAATTAGAAAAATAAACTACATAACTTTTTAATCGCTAAATGTTTTTTTCTTAATGTACTTTGGCAGGGACTCAACCTTGGGCATCCCAAAATCTAGCACCTGCCCATAATGGTCAGACAAAGTCAGATACATGCACACTTTTATAGAAGTAAAAGGTAATATTGACGTTAGAAAATTATCCCAACTGAGACGCATTATCAGGGGTGACTTTTGTATTTTGATTGACGTGAGGAACCAAGCCATAGGTCTCGAATAAGCCAAGCAAAAATATAACATTTTCATCATTCTGACATTGAAAATTGAAATTATAATCACCGCCAACTAAAATTGATATTTAGGCTTATATAACTCATGTAATAATTCTGCCAATTTTTTTAAAAATAATTGCACGTTACCAGTGGGTGGCCTGTAAATAGACACAACAACGCTATATAAATTGTTCAAGATACATTCAGATACACAAAACTCAAAGTCCTTTTCCATTGGAGAAACTCGTGTTGGTACCATCTTCACAGGAGCAAACGAATTTTGAAAGAATATGACAGTACCACCACCTCTTGCAGTACTCCGACTACTGAAGCTAGACAGCGTATAGTTATCCAGGTTAACCAAATTTATAGTGTCGTCCTTAAACCAGTGTTCTGTGATAATTACAATGTCCGGACGCAACTCAGATAGAGTAACTTGGAACTCAAGTACTTTATTGCCTAAGCTTTGAAGGTTTATGTTGAAAATCCTTGTTCACTTTTTTGAAATAGATCCCTGTGGGGAAGATTCACTAAAATGAGCGTGAGAGGCTATTTCAGGTCTAAAAAATTACGCTCAAGAGCAAAATTAAACTTTTGGATATGGAAAATAAGGGGCTATTGGTCCAAATTGAAAAGTTGAACAATCAGAGTAGCAAAATGAGTGCTGAGTTGGTGAAATTGAACGAGTTGAAGAATAAAATGCTTATAAGCATCGAGACACTTGAAGATAATGAGGCTTACATTTCGGAACTGGAAAGAACCAATTACAAACTCTTCTTGCTCAAGGGCAAATCAAAAAATGAGGAAATTACTGAGACTGCTCCAGATCACTCTAAGGGAAAAATAGGTCAACTCGACACACAGGACACTCAAGTGTAAATCTAAATTCCAGTCTTGATGAGCGCCGAATTGTGACCCAGGGCCAAGAAAGAAAGCCGCAATTACTAACGATTGGCAACTGACTCAATGTGAGTGACGCTGTTTAAAAGAGATATCTCTATAACACTTTCGATATCAACTGCCAATTTGAAAGAACGTCTCCCTTGGAGGAGGTATCGGATAAATATATGAGTTAGTCTAGGAAGGGAAAATGCTCTGACGGGAAGAGGACTCACCTCTTCATGCTTGCAACAATTAGCTAGTGTGGCTGAAAAACCCAACCCAATTTTTTTTTTTTTTTGGCATAATTTCCCATGATTAAAAGACTAACTTAGCGGCTCCACCATCTGAGCCTTTTTTTGCCAAGCACCAAAGAATTCCCACTTGTACATGATGAATAGTCCTAATGGAACCCGCAGTTTAACAACAAGGGACGGACTGCTGTCAGTAATGCTGGTTAACATACACAGTCACTGCGTAACTAGATGGATGCATTGTTTCTATTACTTGACAGCCAAGGCTATCCAGAGATTGCATTTTGTGTTGTCTTGAGTAAGATTTTAAGCTTATATGTTATATGTTTGTACGGACTCCAGTCGACAAGTGAAGGTACTTTTCTCGAAAGGCTCGGAACCCTACTGTTGTGCTTTCCCTATTTCAACATAAATTTTGATAGTAGCGATCATGCTGGTACTGTCAGACTGAATCACTTACTTCAGTCGTTTGGTCTGAGAATGCATGTTGATGAGCCAACAAGATTTTCCCAATATTCTAGCTCCACCATAGATTATGTTTGTTCAAGTGTTGATAGCGACCGTGTTACATGTAATGTGGTTAATGCCGCCCTTTTCGATCATGAGGGTATATTGTGCACTTTTGTAATAGATCAATTCCAAAAAAAGAAAAGCATCAAACATTATTGTCGAATATTTTCAAAGAGAAGCTTCGCTGTATTTGCCCAGCGGATTGGTAACCCTTCCTGGAATAAGGTAATCACTCGAGGCGAGCCTCTGGTATCCTTTTATTTCTCCCTTCTTAAGGCCTTTAATGTAGCTTTCCCTTGCAGGGAGCTAGCTGAGGACCTCGTCACGAAATCTACGAAGTCTTCACCAGATCCGTGAGTTTGCTAGTCCGGGCAGCTCATTTATATCTCATTTTAGATCTTATAGAAGCTTGTATCGAAGGTTAATTAGGCCATCTAAGCAGCGATTCTATAGATGTCGAATCGAAGACGCAACAAACAAACAAAGGGAGAGTTGGTCCATAATAAATGAACTGAGGGGTACCGGAGAAAGATCAACTGTCGGAGCTGGTCCCTTTGTTTGACGAATTTAACAGGTTTTACTGCTCTGTTGGAGAAAGGCTCTCCGCGTCGATTTCAAAGTCTCTGGACCCCTTGGCTCACAGGCAAAACTCATTTGTTCACGATTCCTTTTTCTTTTCCCCAACACACACATGAGTTGGGCAGTGTTTTTCGAGAGATCAAAAACAAAAATGCTTCTGGTCAGGATATGTCGTTAAAAATCTTCCTCAGCCTGCCTGATGGAGCACTGGATGCATTGGCGAGCGTTATTAATGCGTCCTTTCGTCCCCGACAGCCTAAAAGCTGCTTTAATAATTCCAATCCATAAGAGAAGTGGTGACTGGGACGATCCGGGAAATTTAAGACCAATTTCTCTATTGCCTACTCTATCCAAGATTGTCGAGAGACTCGTGAAGTCAAGAATGTTATCGTTTTTGAACAGGCACAATATATTGTCACCAGACCAGTAGGATTTCCGGAACAGTGCTGGCACCAACGATGCAATATTTTCAGTGTTCTGCGACTTATCAAAAGGTTTCGATTGTGTGAGTCACAGGATACTGTTGCGTAAGCTCGAGCTTTATGGTTTCTGGTATGTCTCACTCAAATGGTTCAGTTCTTATTTGTCTAATCGGTTTTAGGGGGTTCGTGTGAACAACACGTTATTCAATAGCGAGAAAATAACATGTGGCGTGCCCCAGGGCTCGGTCTTGGGGCCAATTCTGTTTTTGTTGTATATTAACGACCCAACCTCAATCGATATTAATGGTAAATTAACTTTGTTTGCTGATGACACCACTATACTGTGGCATGCTAGGAATTCGTGTCGGATGAATGAAATTATTGAGGATGACGTTGAGAGGGTGAAACCGTGGTGTAACTCTAACTTGCTTTCTTTTAACATTGGGAAAATCAATATTCTTACTTTTAAAGGTACACTCGAGGGTACACTTAGTACTGTTGAGAGAGGGGGACATGTGATTTCTGAGTCTGAGTGCTCTAAATTTTTAGGGTTGCACATTGATAGAGCATTTTGTCTTTTTGTGAGCATGTTTCTGCTATTTGTCGTGGATTTGCCAAGGTATGTTTCGCTCTGAGGATTGTCTCCAGATAACTAGACGCCTCTTCTGCAAGGAGTATATATTTTGTTCTCATCGAGTCTCATCTGAGATATGCAGTCTCTTTCTGGAGAAACTGCAACCAAACCTTTTTTCAATCTGTATTTATTCTGCAAGAGAGAGCAATTCGTTTAATCGCAGGGGTGGGCTATCGTGATTCTTGTTGTCCATTATTCAGATCAAAAAGCACACTTTACCATCCCCTGTATCTTTCTTTTAGAAACGGCTTGTTTGATGTACAGGAAGCATCGACACAGCATAGGCAATGGTCAGAACAACTCAAGCTACAAAACAAGACAAACTTTCCACATCAATCTCCCTATACCTAAATCCACCCTAGTTCAGAAATCTGTGGTAATCGATTCCAAAAAAATATTCAATCACATACGACTTGACATTCGTATGTTACAGTCTGACAGGAGGTTCAAGAGCGCGGTGAAAAAAATATTGTTAGCTCGAGTACTTTCAGGACACATTTTAAATTGTATAAATTTTCGTGTTTTTGTCCTTGCCATTATTAATTTTATATGGCTAGTTTTAAATTGAATTGGATAGTAATTTCGATTAGTAATTAGTAGTAAGATTTAGTAGGGATGTTGGTTTGTCAATGAATACCATGTATTGTGAACATTAAAGCATATTTTGATTTGATTTGAAGGAATAAAACTTTGTTATAAAACACGACCCCACTTGTCTACACTTAAAAATATGTTATTGAAACATTTCTCTTGCACTGAGCACCCCCTACCAGCTGAAATGCTGCAAAAATTATGTGCAGTATTTTGTTTTGTTTTTTGTCATGTAGTCTGGATGCTTCGGCTTTATTATAACAATTACACAACAAAGTTGTACAAACAATTTGTTGTAGGTACCACTTTGTTATCAACATGTTTTGTTACATAGTCTGGAACCGGCTTTATATAACGAGCCTTGATAAACACCTACTTAAATAAAGCCAGGTCCAAACTATGTAACAAAACATGTTAAATAACAAAGTTTTATAACTTGTAAGAGAATTTTAAATAAAAAAAGGTATACAACCCAGTGTTTTGCAATATTTTGCTGGTTATATAGCATGTTTTATGTTATATTATCCATCAGATGTCGGTAAAGATGAAAGGAAGTTATAAAACATTATAACAAGTTACACAACAAAGTTGTATGTATAACAAATTTGTTGTAGCACTTTGTTATCAACATGTTTTGTTACATAGTTTGGACCCAGCTTAAAAAGTCGAAAAGACGGTCGAATTTGTAAATAAGGAAGTTTTATTCCTCTCCGTCCTTAACCCAGAACTTCTCTCTCCCCTATTAAATGATTAAATGTATTTAAAAAAAAAAAACTTCTAGAACCACTGTTCTGGAGTGAATATAAATCTTTCCAAGGCAAATCTGGGATGACAAGTAGTTATATCGGGCTTGAACAACCCTTTCCGTCTCAGACCCTTAAACCTATCCTACCTCCAAACTAAGTCACACTATCCTTAAAAAGGCAAGAGTTTTCTTCTAGTTTGAGAGGTCATCACTGGACTGTTCGTCACTCCAAGGATTATTTCTCCTTATTGCAGACCCCTGTCCAGGATTGTAAGGTTTCTCTTGCCATTACTCATTCTAACAAGTTTTAGGGTCTATTGGTAGGACATCTAGTATTTGAAAACCTCTCGGAAAGGATGCCAAACACTTGATGCCGGTAGAAATCCCGCTGTGGCTATTACACTTCTGAGTGAAAGTAATTTATAATCGTAAAGATCAATAAACACGTCCACTTACCGAATAAATCCAAAAATTGATCAACTATCAGATCATCTTGTATTCCTCGTAACATAGCCATGGTTTTCAAAATATCCCTTCCCGTTAAGGAATAGTTCAACGCGTCGTTCTGTGGACAATACCCTAACCTCTTCAAATACTACAAAAAATTGAAAATTAAATTCCTCAATATACTTCAAATAGTTTATAAGTTACCTCATCATTTTCAACACTATGAGCATTAATTTTGATATCCCCATTATCTTTAACTTCTTCCCTGGTTAACATTTTGAACGTGGTTGTTTTGCCTGCTCCATTAACTCCCAAAATACCCAAGCATTGTCCTTTCTTCAAATTCAAGCTCACATCCTTGACTACTTGCTTGCCCGAATAAAACTTCTTTAATTTTTTTACTCGTAAAGTACCGTGGTCAGCTAATTCTTCGGCAGTGTCTGGAGGATTTGGTATCCTATTGTAATGCTTGGTGAAGATATTACGAATCCAATTCATAACTCTTTTTCTCAAATAACTATCTAGTATCATATTCACAAGAAGATAAATCACAGCACATAAAAGCATATAATAAATTTCAGAATTCCTGTAGCTCTTCCAAGCATCACAAGCAGGCCCGATTCCATCGCAACAAGGATTTCTTTGATCGCTAGAGCATATTACAAGACGACGCAGCTCATCACTGTGATCAAAGTTGTAATTCTCAATGACCTTGAGTGAGAACCTTAGGCCCCAATAAATAAGACCGTATTGGGGACAAGTTATCAAAAATATTACATTTAGAATGTTGCCCGCTTGTTTATAACCTCCTTCGGGAACTTCTTGTAAAGCCATTACGCCAATCGTTAAGAGACTTCCCGTAAATGATCCAATTGTGATGAAATGTGAGTAAGCTGAGGCAAATGATTTCAATCTGGCAAATAAGTAGGAGTAGGGTATTGCGCATGCGCCGTACAATGCTAGGACTAAATAGAGTGCACCTAAATGGAAACCAATATAAGCTTGAGAAAATTTTATTGTAATACAACTTACCAAATTCTTTAATTCCACGGAAAGGTGTCCAGCATAAAGTATAAATAAGACACATTACGAGTGCAAATAGCAAATAAATAACAAAATCGGCAGCAAAAGTAGTCAGCCAATAAACAGCAGGTCTCACTCCGCACATGAACTGAAGTTGAGTGAACTTTGTAGACATTTCCACGTAGGGGAAATAGATGAAACTGCCAACAAAGAATAGGAACCCCCAAGGCATCACTGCTAGCCATAAGATAATAATTTCAACAACGTCCACATTGTCTGTAGCATTATCCTTGTTCTTGAAACCCAGTGGGTAGTTTGTGGTTAAAATTGAGTACTGATCTCCCAAGGTATATTTTGCAATAGTATTGGTTAGCAGGTTGAAGGAAATTGGTGCAGAGTGTAGTGGAAAGTTGTTAAATAGGGCTACAGCCTCGATTATTTTTTGTCCTCTAGACTCTCTTGTAGAAATTTCAGCTGCTGCAATCATGTGCTGATGGTAATAGGGCAAATTCTCTGTACCTGCTGCGATAATACCTAAAACAAACAGTTTATTTGTAAAAAATAATATAAATGATATTATTAAATACTTACTTCGAGAAACATCACTGGCAAAATTCAACTTGCCATTCTGATCTGAAACCAATCGCTCGTAAATTTTGCCAATTTCAGAGTCACCAGTAGTATTTAAATAAACTGTTGTTTTGCCGTAAGTGCTCAAAGACATTTTCAAGGGAGGTCCACTATCACCTGTATAATCTTGTTTTTGGGAACCCATATAGACGCACAATCCGATAAAAAGAAAAGCCACAAGAGTCTAAAATGGTGATGCTTTAATAAGAATATTGTTTTGTGTTATAGGAATAACTTACTGGAATTATGTAAAACATGGATTTTCTGAAAATGAATTGGTATCTCTTGAAAAGTAAAGCTTTCAAGGTCAGGTAGAAGGCAGATTCTGAAACAATAATTACTTAATATAGAACAAAAATGGAGCAAAACATTTTCACTCACCTTTTGATCTTGCAATGGATCTCAAGTCGCTGTTAACATATTCATCATCTTCCTCGTGCTCAGTCACTTTGGGACTAAAACATCCAAAAATTAACATAATTCAAATACCTATCAAGATTTTTCTTACCTCAAAAACACATCTTCAAGAGTGGTGCAAGTGAAAGAAATATTTTCAATGCCATATTTGTCCTTGTTGGATTCCAAGAATTCAAACAATTTAATGTAGTTGCCTTCAGGAAGTAAGAATCGGACCTCATGGCCGTTGATACCTTTGCATTTTGCTGAGTTGAATTCGGTCTTTATTACTTTTTCAAGGTTTTCAACCGCCTCTGTAACATCTTTGTCTTTTTTAATAAGTAGAATCAAATTGGAACCAGTTTCTAAAATATATTTAAATTGATTTTAGAGAGAATATTCATTTACTATGCCAAATTTTATTTACCATATAGCTTCTTTAGATACATTGGGGTACCATAGCATTTTAGTTCTCCTTCGTTCATAATAGCAATCCAGTCGCCAAGCGCATCAGCTTCTTCCATAAAATGTGTGGTGATTAGAATTGTTTTTTCATTTCTCCAGTTATGTAGCAAATCCCACATTTCTCTACGAGATTGCGGATCCATTCCTGACGATGGTTCATCCAGTATCAAAATCTACAAAAATTTCAAATTACTTTGTGATTATTTTACTAAATTTTGACACACCTTTGATCCTCCAACAACTGCCATTCCAAGGCAAAGCTTTCTTTTCATACCGCCAGACAGTTTGTGAGCCAAAGAGTCTTTTTTGTCACTAAGATGTAATTTGGGTAAAAGGTCTTGTATTTCGTGTTCAGATTCTTGACAACTTTTGCCTTTCAACTATAGGAAAAATATTTTAGGATTTTAAAATTTCAAGAATCTGGTAAGAGATTTTACCATTGCAAAAAACATCAAATGCTCTGCCACAGTCAAGGTAGGAAAAAATAAGTTCTCTTGCGGGCAGAGACCGAGTGATTCGGTTATGTCAGATCTGGATTGTACTTCTTTTCCGTTGATAATGATTGTGCCAGCTGTTTTTTTGATCATACCGGTTATCATTCCCATTGTAGTAGATTTTCCGGCACCGTTATGACCCAGCAGCACCGTAATTTGATCTTGGTAGATTTCCATCTTTAATTTTTTAACTACAGTCTTCTTGCCGTATTTTTTCTGCAAATCTATTAATTCGATACCTTTAGTTAGTTTTGATTTTTCGTGATCTTGCAAATGGAAGGACTCTGCTCCTTTTTCAATATCAACATCATTATGCCCTTTGAAAAACTAAAAATACAATTTTTTTTTTGTGGTCAATAATAAGAATGAAGGTAGAGGTCTTACGCTAAGCAATTTTTTGAAAGGGAAAAATATGGATTTTGGCATGCCATATTTTCCAGGATTTATAGCGTCTACATAGAGGGCCAGCAACATGTAAATGAAGCAATCGATTATCTGCATAACAAATACGTTAAACATTGAAATGTCGTTGGAACCGTTTGCTCCAGGTTGGTGGAAGTTTGACCAATTTACACCAATTTCTATTAAAAGAAAAACATATTAAGGTTCTTAGCTGTTCATATCAAAGTATAAAATTTAATGTTAAAAATCCCACTAAAAGTTTAGATAAAAGTACAATGTATACATTCAATATTCGCATATCCTGCATAATATCATGATTGGGAGCTTTATACATATCTGTATTTATATCCGTTTGTTGGTTGCTGTTGCTTTTATCTTGAAAAGCACAAAGAATCATTGACATTATAACTTTGTAAATATGGTTATCTTTGTATTGCCATCCAATTTATATTATTTTATGGTTTTGAAACCGCTGATAAGGCATTATTGCTCTATTTTTACGAAAAATATACGGTTATACATGCAATCAAAATGTGATAACATTTTTGAGTTTTGAGTAATGAAATAAATATACACACCTACTTTTGTGTTTACTAAATATTTATTTATATACTCCATGAATCATTTAGCTTGGAGAAAACCTACCCAAAAATAAGATGATATATCTAAAATTCAGAGAAATGATTCTCTAGACTTGAATGTTATAGAAAGGAAACAAAACTCAAAGTCAAAGGCTTAGATTAAGTATACAGTATAAGTGTGTTAAAGATGAAAATCCTTACCTCTAACTTCGTATTGTTGTATAGCAAGAAAACCATAATGCAGTCCCATATTTGGGAATAACATTAGCAAAATACTTGTCGAAAATGGGACTTCAGGCTTTTTACCAATGAGAAATTTAGGGAGTATGTAAGACAAAACAATTAAAAATAATTGTCCCAATAATGTCGACAGAAAGGCTGAAATGGATAAAAGAAATTATTATGTATTTTTTAATTTGAAAAGTAGTGCAATCAAATGAGATTTTGATTTCAAGATATTTTTCTTAATGAAGAAAACTTTAATTGAGTAAATTTCATGCGATAAATAAATAATTATATCCCTGATACAAACAATTCATTTTTTTTCTAGATCAGTAGCAGTTTTCATTTTAAACAAATTATATTTAACCTTGGTAAACCTATTTGGAAATTATTAAGCAAAATCGGTTTTACGCCGATAAATTTCAATTTTTAAAACATGCAATTATCATGAAAATTTGTCATAAACTTTTATTATTAAATTGAGTCAAATAAGTTTTGCGTTGATGCAAATGAACATTACTCACGTCTGTGGGTCCATGTGCTGATAAAAAAGCACACTATCGTATTTGCGAAGATATAAAGCAGCAAAAACGCAAAAAGTATCGTCCCATCTGTATATTCAATGGCAGCGTACCCTGCCTCAAATATATCAACTTTTAAAAGAATTACAATAAAGGTTATTGATACTAGCATCGGTAATACGCTGTGTATGAACCATCCCAGCCATAACATCCAAGTTTGTATGCCTACCATTTTCATTAATTCCTATAATATGAAAACAAAATATATAAAAATAAGACACATTAAGCAATGTGAAATTACCTTGATTCCGGTATATTTTTCCTCAACTATCCTTTTTAGTACTAAGGGAATCACAAATAGGAAACTGAACAATGTCATCAAGGGCAAAAGGTTCATGAAAAAGTTAGACATTCCGCTGTCCAATTTATATGGAGGATATGGAAATTCCTGCAGTTGAATGTCGGTTTTGGGAAGTTTACCTCCCTGTTTTTCCTTTTCCTTTTCGATAAACGACATGTCTATGGATTTTTGTAGGGCTAGGAACCCTTGATACAAGTATGGAGTTCCTGTTAGAAATATATTTATTTTATTATACATGTAGGTACAGTAATAAGTATCTGAAAATTGTTTTCAATATAAAATTTTACAAGATTGTATTTCAATAAATAATGGAAAATTTTAGAAATACCAGCACAATATTTATACATATATAGTCCGACAAATACCATTTTAAAGTCACTTGATACTGGTGGCAAAAAACGTATGTCCATTGATTATGTCGTTGATATCACCTACAAAAAGCTACTGGTGGTTAATTACTATTGAATTTTAATATATGTTCCCACTAGCATTTTACAAACGCGTTTCTGAAGTAGTATTGACCAATCAGAGGGCAATTTTAATACTTGTAATTGTTGCGAGACTCACTTTTGTCGCATCTGCTGTCTGTTGTAATACATTCTGAACTTAAACTGGGTACCCTTTTTCTATTTGCTTCTTTTCGAGTTGGAAAAAGGTTAATATAGTCAAAATTATTAGCTGTGTTTGTTCGTTGTTATTATTTTCGAAAATAACTTTGACAAACTAATTGATGACAGTGACGGATTCTATTTCAGGTAAGAATATTATGAACAATAATTAGACAGCAACTTTTTTGTCAATTTTACTATCACCGCTGTTTGAGATGTATTCAACAAGGATAGAGAAAAATCACGTGACTTTAAAATGGTATTTGTTGGACTATAGTATGCTTCATCAGAGGGGTGAAAAATGTGTATATCTGATCACAATCCCAATTTTAACGGAATCCCACGAAATCCTACTGGAATTCCACACAGCACACAAAATCTTAAAGACGTCTTTTTTAGGCCTACATTACGTCCAAACGTTTGAAGACCCAAAAAAAAAACGTCTAGCAGACGTTGTTTTGAGGATATCCATAAGATGTCGTAAATTCACATCTTAAAGACAACTATTTAAATTGATACAGCCATGCCTTAAAGTGAATAATGGTTTAGGTATTGAATTGAGATTCAAAGAGGTCTTTAGGCAGACGTCTGAAAGACGTTAGGTTTTGTAACATACAACGTCTTCAGGATGTCTCCAAAACGCCTTCAAGACGTCTTGAATGTCGTTTGTGGACATCAAAGGGATACCTGATGTCTACAAAAAGTTCCCCCAGAATTCGTGTCTCATTCAATTAAGAAGTTACTGGAAACAATTTGAAATGCTACAGAACACTTTAGAACTTTAATGAACCTTCTGGAAAGTTTGAAATACTTAAAATTCATCATCAGAACCATTTTAGAATGCTCCAAAACATTCAAAAACTAATTTTCAATTTCCAAAAGATTTTTAGAACAATTCAGAAGTTTTAAACCCATTTCAGAACGCTCCAAAACACGTAAACACTCTAGAATCTCCGGAAACATTTTTAAAAGTGCCAGAATCTTTGGATTTAGGTTAAAAGTTACAAAACCCCTTCCAAGATCAAATTTAGATTGCTGTAAAACTCTAGAACTTTAATAAGCATCCAAAACAGTTCAAATCCAAATCAAAATTTTCAGGAGCATTTTAGAACAATGAAAATTCAATTTAGAACTAGAAACCTTTTAGAACTCGTTTGAACTAATTTAGAACACTTTGGAGCTTCAATAGGGCTCTAAAAATACTAGAGGGTATAAAGATACTAACAGAACAATTTAGAAATTACTAAGACACTTCTTGAATGCTCCAGAACTCTTCAAGCCGACTAAGAACACTTTAGAACTTCAATAAGCCATTTAGAACGTTCCAAAACACTTGATGAGCAATAATAATGAAATATTAGTCCTGAAAACGTGTTTAGGCAGGAGTCTCAAAGACGTTGGGTTTTGTAACATACGACGTCTTGAGATGTCTTTAAGACGCCTTGAAGACTTAAGCAGACGTCTTGAATGTCGTTTATGCACATCTTAGGGACGCCTCTAAGATGTCTACACAAAGTTCCCCCAGAATTTGTGTCTCATTCGATTGAGAAGTTACTGGAAACGATGTAAAATGCTACAGAACACTTTAGAACTTTAATAAGCCTTTTGGAAAGTTTAAAATACTTAAAATTCATCATCAGAACCATTTTAGAATGCTCCAAAACATTCAAAAAATAATTTTAAATTTCCAAAAAAATTTCAGAACAATTCAGAAGTTTGAAACCCATTTCAAAACGCTCCAAAACACTCAAACACTCAAGAAGCTCCAGAAACATTTTCAAAAGTGCCAGAATCTTAGGATTTAGGTTAAAAGTTACAAAACCCATTTCAAGAGCAAATTTAGATTGCTGTAAAACTTTAGACCTTTAATAAGCATCCAAAACAGTTCAAATCCAAATCACAATTTTCAGGAGCATTTTAGAACAATGAAAATTCAATTTAGAACTGGAAATCTTCTAGAACTCATTTGAACTAATTTAGAACACTTTGGAGCTTCGATAGGGCTTTAAAAATACTGACAGAGTAATTTAGAAATTACTGAAACACTTCTAGAATGCTCCAGAACTCTTCAAGCCAAGTTAGAACACTTTAGAACTTCGATAAGCCATTCAGAACGTTCCAAAACACACCAGCAGAATTTTGAATTGCTTCAGAGCAATTTGAAAACCTCAAAATTATTTCAGACAGTCTGGTAATAATAATAAAATAAGTATTAGTCCTGAAGACGTGTTTAGGCAGACGTCTGAAAAACGTTGGGGTTTGTAACATACAGCATCTTTGACACGCCTTGAAGATGTAAGCAGACGTCTTAAATGTCGTTTGTGGACATCTTTAAGATGCCTCCGTGCTGTCTGGGGTCGCGCAATATCCCACTGGAATCCCACGGAATCTTACTGGAATCATTTGGAATCCAATGGAATTCCTTGAGGAATTCCATGGAATTTCTTGTGAGTTTTTAGAATTATTTTGATTGCTAGCAAGCAAATACTCTGGACAAAAAAGTCTTATTTTTCAGTTAAGCCGCCACTACATAAGTACCTACAAACAAACTAAAAGCATCGACTCATCAACCTAACTAAGAAATCCCACAGAATCTTAGGGAATTCCACTGAACTGAAATCCCACATGTTTCTACTACACTTTAATAAATTCCAAGGTAGTTTACCCCTCGTCTTTATCTTAATGTTTCATTATTAGTCCAAAGACTTTTAAGCCAAGGCACTTACCCGAAATAACAGCCATATTTTAACATAAAATTTAACAGCAAACTATTGATGCAATATTGTTAAGGATCATTTATAGATGCTAAAAACCAAAAATGCAACATCTAATTACTTTTAGGGGATTTTATAAACAATATTTAGTGCAAAAATAGGGCTTTTTTTTGTTTATTTCACTGTATTTCGAATAATAATGATCGTATGGTTTTGCTACTATGGCAATAGTTTTAGAGCATTGAACAAGCTTTAAAATGAGCCATCATACGACCCTGTAGGTCTTTTAGCCTTCGAGAAATGATTTTTTTCCCCCCAAAAAAGAGATTTTCGTAAAAAAATCCTAACTTTTTTAATTTTCATGCTAGACAATTAATTTTTTACACATACATAGTAGATGAAGCAGGCTTTATTGAGCCCAAATTTGGGCCCGGTCCGATGGGTCGTTTCGGCATATTACCCTTGTCAAGCAAAATGGGGATGTTTCTAAAGCAGTCTGTCGAATTGAGGATAATTTTTTTATATTTATTTTGAAAAGTCCACTGATAAGTCGAAATGCCGAATGGAGCCGCTTTACTTGCGATAAAAAAATTAAATGAAAAATCTGAGATAGAGGATCGATAGTTTGGCATTTCGACTTATCAGTGGACTTTTCAAAATAAATATAAAAAAATTATCCTCAATTCGACAGACTGCTTTAGAAACATCCCCATTTTGCTTGACAAGGGTATTATGCCGAAACGACCCATCGGACTGGGCCCAAATTTGGGCTCAATGAAGCCTGCTTCATCTACTATGTATGTGTAAAAAATTAATTGTCTAGCATGAAAATTAAAAAAGTTAGGAATTTTTTACGAAAATCTTTTTTTTTGGGGGGAAAAAAATCATTTCTCGAAGACTAAAAGACCTACAGGGTTGTATGATGGCTCATTTTGAAACTTGTTCAATGCTCTAAAACTATTGCCACAGTAGCAAAACCATCCGATTATTAGTTTTCGAAATACCGTGAAATAAACAAAAAAAAACCTTATAACAATACTGCATCGATAGTTTGCTGTTAAATTTTATGTTACGAAAAAAATTATCTGCCCTGGCCTATTTAGAAAGTCTCAAAAAGTAGAATCAAATTCCTGACAATTCAGAGTTTGCGACTGAAGGGAAAAGGAAACCCATAATCACATTATTCCAAAAATGTTTTATGTGTAGGAACAACTTTCAAGATTTTGAGATGCATTGATCAGTGGCAAGTAATCAGGATTTTGAAGTAATAATTTTTGTATGGCAATTGTATGTGTATTTCGCAACAAACTACTATAAAAATACTTTTGCAACATGTATCGTTAAATATACGATAAAGTCGAACAATACCCAGAGTTCATTGTTATGAGGGTCATTAAAATATAACAATAGGTAGTTTTAGGATATGAAGTTGAATATTTATTAACTGCATACATTTAAAATTCGGCATACTTTTAATAATTGGGATACATAGTCCACCATATTATAAAAGATAACAAACATAAACATAATCATGCTTTATTCTGCTGATTGGAAATGTTTATGTTTTTTTTTTTGATGACCCACACAGAATCATTATATTTTTTTAGTGCAAGACTTTTCCAAGGAAATCAATTGCAATAGAGTAAGACAACATAAATTAACTTGGGCCACAATCCTATATTCCCGGAATTTCCCATGCCAACAATAAAATATTAATGTTTATCGTTTTCTACAGTTGAAATAAAAGCGATAAGAAATATAATACGCAAATTGCCAAATGGTAATGAAAAGTTTTGACATTATTACTCACCCATTCCTGGTCTATATCCCATTGTGTTCGAGTACATTTGGCTAGTTTCCCACGAAAAGTCTTCGGACGATCTTTTTTGTGGTTGTCTAATGGTGTATTCCAAATTAGGCGACCCAGCAGCAGAATGGAAAATAATAGGAATAACAGAGCTGTTGCTGGTTTTCGCAAACTGTTCTAGCAACCGATGCTCATTCTTAAATCCCTGAATAGCTGAAATAAAAAAATAGTTTCATTAAAAATTTCTTTTACATAACGCCAAGTTACTTACTATTGCTAGGGACTTGGAACTTTTCCTGTACTCGATGTATCAAATCATCAAAGTATTCATTAGAAGGGCTGTAGAAAAACAAAGTATCCGCCAAATCGAAACCGGGTTTGTCGAATGTGATTTCCTCTTTCTCATTGATCGTGACATCTTGAATGGTCACCTTGGATATTGAAGTAATCTTACTTCTTCCATAGGCAGCCATTAGGAATATTAGTATGGGTATTGTGGCTTCCATTATTGTGAGTAACCAGTGTCTCTTGCGAATCAGAAAGTTCTTCCATAGTATTGCTCTGAGTTGATGTTTCCACATTTTGGATTTATTCTGTGAAGGCTTTTTCTGATAGTTTCTTGTTTTTTTCTGCAATAGACATACATACAAATTAATGAAATAATCTCAAGACATAGGTACATTTTACAAAATACAAAGGGAAAAGAAGACTCTCAAAGTTATTTGCTACAAACCATCTTTTATGTTTAAATACTAACTCACCACAATCATTTTTCTAACGGATTTCAGAAAATACAAACATTAAATTTTCACTACAAATCATCATGGTAGGTACCAATGAAATGTTGCATTTGCATTAAACAAACGTCGCACTCGGCAGGAACCGCTTAACTGATCACAATAATAATAGCTGGTTAAAATTTAGAGAGATATTGCGGAGCGGTGCAACGCAAACAGAAATGCAATATGTATATTATTGTATTACCATCCTAGCATAAAAATTTGCATGTTATATTGAATCAGCTTGAAATGGATACCGAAGACCTTATTGGATTATAAATGTTTGCCTTATTCCAACAAATTGTATGACATTATTTAGGCATTGTGGCAACACTTCTCTATTTTGGTTACATCAGTTTTGAATTGATAGTTTCTGATAATATAATATAGACAGAAGCGGCTTTGTTAAAATAAGTTTATAGAGGGTAGCTGTGAGTATTTACTCTTGTCTTGGCAATAATTTCCTGTAAAAAACTATGTTTTTCACAGTAACAAAACAGCAAAATTGAAAAGACATAAGAGCAAAAAGTTGCATATTGGATGAGTAACATATTATCATAACATGACATGAGTAATTATTACTCAAATAGATTATTCAAGGTAGGAAACAATAATTGAGCTTGTCATAGTTATAATCAGTGCAGTAATAAACTACCCAATATTATGCAAGGCAAGGTGCAACACTGACTAAAACATTGTTGCAAAATATTACAAAAAACTCGATAAAAGCAGCTTTAGTCAATGGCAGGAAAATAGGGATAAATAGTTATAGTAAAATGATCTCTATCAACTAGTCGAATTAGGTACTTTCATGTCAATTTGATTATGAGAATTTCAACAAAAATCTAATAAATGCTGAAAGTTTAAATAGCAGTATAGGACAAATTCCATATTCTTTTTTCTTGATGTTCTACAGCTGCCAAAGAAAATGTTATATATTTTTTACAGCAAGTTTTCCGTGTTACCTCTTATGTCATAATGTTTTGGTATTCATCATGCATACAATATACATTGTAAGTAATGAATCTGGTAGGGGAAAATTTAAGCAGATGAATAGTTTTTGATAAAGCTATCTTTATTTGTTTATACTTTTGCCCTGTTCATAAATAAAGTCTAATTGAAGATATTTTATTGGAAATTGGGATAGCTTGAATGGTAAAACACGAGAGAAAACTTGTCAGTATCAGACAGTGTTATTTCATAAATCATAATCCACAAACTCTCCCACAAACAAAAAAATGTTCTGAAAATAGATAAAATGATGATTTTTGATATTTACAATATAGGTACTATTGCTCTCCTAATTTGTGTTCTATTGCATGTTTCACTGATTATTATTTACCTACAGTGTCGACATATTTTACGAGTTTAAGTCTAAGTTTGGATTGAAATGCTTTTTTGGAATGATTATGGCTTGGATTATGTCAATAAAAAATTATCATAAGCAGAAACAAATTGAATAGCCACCTAGATCCCAAGAACTAAGGCCGCTAGATTTTATGTTATGGGGTTCCCTTAAAACTCGACTTAAAATATGTTGTTTTGGAGAAACTGCAAGATGAATTATATAATTCAGAAATAATGGGCTATTTCCAGAGCAAAATTTGCCAATATAAGTTAATGACACTAAGATAAGCTTTATTATTGCTTGCAAAACAATAGGACCTATTTTGAAAAATATGTTCATATACAGTGTGCACCATAAAGTTGGGTACATATGGGAAAATTCGAGGGAAAATTCTTAATTATTCCTTTTTTCAAAAAACTTTTTTTGGGGATCGTTAGGGCATGTTCGATAACCAAAAAATCGATTATGACACATGTCATGCGATTATCGATTTAGCGGGAATTTTGAAAAAAGTTAATATTGATGTCGAAAAACGGGTGAATTTGGCAAGATATCAAAAAATTTTATAAGAAAAAGTTGTTCAAAATCCAAAAAGAACTCCACATGCCGATTTTGAAGCAAATCAGGGAAAAAAAATAAAATTACTTATTTTACCCATACCAATAAATTGAAAATCGAAAATATTAATTTTATTTCAAAAATAGCTTTATTCAACTAAACTACAAAAGTTTGATATCAAACGAATCGATTGTTTTGCGAAATACACACTTGAAGCTCATAAATTAGAAAATACCGTCCGGTCGTGTCGTTATAACTGTACCCATGTCCCTTTTTGCACATTTCTGGGTCATCAGAAAAATAACATGACATGTGTCATAATCGATTTTTTGGTTATCGAACATGCCCTAACGATCCCCAAAAAAAGTTTTTTGGAAAAAGGAATACTCATACTCATACTCAATGTGCTTTATTGTCCAAAAAATATAAATCTTTACTGACAAAGCGGATAATATAATATAATAATTTATATACTAATCTAAATTAATAGTTATACGAATTACACAAAATCACATAAAAATCTTAAAATTCCTAAAATTAACATAAGGCCAAAGAATGACTAATTAAAATGTAATAAATAAATTGAAATAATATAAAAGAAACAAATCAAAACACAAAACATAAAAAATTGTAAATATGTGTATAGGTCTATAAAAAATAAAAAACAAGACAATCATAAAACATCACCATAATATTCCTCCAAGCTGTAGAATGCTTTCTCCAATAACATACTCTTAGCATTCGTTCGAAATTGGGTATAGTCCGATACTGATTTCAAATCATTACTGAGGTGATTGAAAATTTTTTTGCTTTCAAAGAATATAGAATGTTTAGTCAGAGTAGATTTTGGAATTGGTAAACGTAAGGTGTTATTAGTGTGTGTTCTGGTATTGTACCTTACCTCCTCAGGTTCTAGACCAGAATATTTTTTATGTATGAGACAAATAGTTTCTAAAATAAACAAAGAAGAATAATTAAGAATTTTCCCATATGTACCCAACTTTATGGCACACGCTGTATACTCCTGGACAAAATTATCGCACCACTGCACATAAGCACCACCATAAGCAGTGGTGCGATAATTTTGTCCAGGAGTATACAGGGTGTATATTTTAAGTGATACCACTATTGCTATATCCGAAACGGTAAGAGCTACAAGGTCGGTTGAATTGGAAAAAAGTTGCCTTTTTTGATGCCCATTCAAGATTCTTTTACAATGTTGCTAACTTCCTTTTAGTTTCTGAAATACAGGTTCATAACTAGGGCCGAATTAAGGTGAAATCACTGATGATCACTTTTTAGATCTGAAACGTCGCCCAATCATACTCAAAAGGTATATCGTTGAAAAGGGGATAAAGGGTGCCTCGAGGGGTGCCTTCTGAAAAAGACATAAAAAATTCAGGTCCGTATTTAAAAATATGAAGTTGATGATGGTAGCTCAATCACAAAACGTCGGATTCGAAATTTGAAGATGCCACGTTGTAGAGCGAAAAAAATTATAAAACTTTCAAATTTGAATTATGTTCCGAAAATTAATAGTTCTCGGAATAATTGATGAAAGATTTTTAGGCATTTCTTAGAAATCACCCTGTATTTCATAAACTAAAAAAAATTTGGCAACAGTGTGAACGAGTCTTGAATGGGCATCAAAAAAGGCAACTTTTCTCTAATTTAACCGACCTTGTATCTTTCACCGTTTCGGATATAGCAATAGTGGTATCACTTAAAATATACACCCTGTATATATTTCATTACAAATCTCCTAACAAGACTCAACCACTAGACACTGTCAGATGACAACCACGAACCAATCGATGTGATTTATCTTGACTTCCAAAAAGCATTTGACAAAATACCAACACAGTTCCTAATCCATAAAGTCAAACACGTCGGAGTTAAGGGCAATTTACTCCAGTTGTTCGAAGGATTCCTCACAAGAAGAACTTTTTAGTTGCGTGTGGGTCCAACGCTTTCAAAAGAGCACAGAGTGCATGGTGGAGTACCACAGGGATCAGTTCTTGGTCCTCTACTGTTTATTGCCTTTAAGTGATCTATATCTAGGACTGGAAACAAGAAATGCATCTTTAGCCAACAATGGAAACATTTAGGGAAATCTACTTTCGCAACATGCTGCTATTCAGAGAGACCTAAACAATATCAAAGAATGGACACAGCTATGGAAAATGTCCTTGAATGATTCCAAAGGCACAGTCCTAAATATTGGCCAGAACAACCCTAAATTGAATTACTTTTTTGAACAGTTTCAAATAACACCTGTCATACAACAGAGAGATCTGGGAATCACTGTAACCCAGGACTTGAAATGGGAAACTCACATCACGCAAATGACCAAAAAAGCCTATTCAATGATTTACCTCATACAAAAATAATTTGAAGACCTCTCCAAAGATATGATACTAAAGCTACATAAATCATATGTCAGGCCAAGAGTGGAATATGCACAAACTATTTGGAATCTTTACTATGCTAAAGACATAGAGCAAATTGAGAGAGTACAACGAAGAATAACTAAGCTGCCTCCAGACCTTCATGAACTGCCTTATGAGGAACAATTAACCCAGCTGGACCTAACTACCCTAAAAGATAGAAGAATCAGGGGAGATCTCATTGAAACTTTTAAAATAATAAATGGGCACTATGCATGTAACTGAACAGAGATCTACCACCTCAACTAATCTCAGAGAACACAATCTAAAGCTTTCCAAGAAGAAATGTAACAAGCTAATGAGAAGAAACTTTCTAACAAACAGGGTGGTTTATCTCTGGAACAGTCTTGGTAACAACACTGTCACGTCAACAACCAAGAACCAGTTCAAAAACCGTTTAGACCAAGAAATGAAGAACCAAAGCACAACGTTCTTTGTGCACTATACCATATGAGGCAACGAAGTTTCAGGAGGAGTATTAAGAACGCAGACGCTCTTTTGGCAAGAGTAATGCATGACTTCCCACAAATCTCTAATCTTTAAATAACAACTCAAATAGATTCAGCAGTTTCATCGGATTTATTCCGTCTACTGCAGATACCCATAATAATAATAATAATATTAATATTTTTTTTTATTTAGTTATTTTTGCTAAGCATTTAAAATTCGATTTGAAGTGGAAATTTCTTCTACCAAAGCCCCGATTGGTCAAAGTGTTGGAATATTGTTGCTAGTTTCTTGTGAAATTTTTTTATTGTGGGAATACCCAATCTGGCATCTGAATCGATAGATTTGATTCGTCAGAGTATCAATAATTTCTTCAAAGTATCTATCTATACCAAGATCTGAGCCGAAGCTGAGATCTATATATACAACCACTGTTTCTGAATTTCAATTTTAATGTCTGTCTATGATGTATTTTTTTCCAAGATAGATTTTCACATGGAAAACTTTGAAATAACTACAATGCTTGAAAGTTGACAATGTCAAAATCTATCTTGGGAAAAAATAAACTGTAGAATTTTACTATTTAATATTTATATTTTTACGTGTTTTGTATTGTGTACTCCTGTATTCTAGCCTTAATTTGGTGGTCTGAAAGTTGATGTTAGTAGTTTTATTCATAGATTTAATAACATGTATACTGACTTGTGTAAACACTATTATTTGCTCGATTATTTGTGTACGGGTACCTTAGACGGGCACCAATAAATGATTTTGATTTTAATTTTGTTGCATTGGACCTTCATTCTCCCAAATTGGCACAGGCAATCATCATTTTAAATAAATGTAGGTACCTACTAACCCTTGTACTAACCTTGTGAGGATATAAAAATTGAAGTTTTTCGTCTTCTTCTGAATCATCTTCATTATCACTTTTATCCTCTCCCTTGTCCTCATAGCCATCGTCCGTATCTTTATAACTGTCTTCACTCATATCTCTGTCATCAGACAGCATTTTGTCTTGATTACTGTTATCAAGTCTTTCATCTAATGTTTGCACTGTATAAGTAGTTTCTTTTTCAAGTTTGAAAATTCTCATGTCAGATCGTTTTTTGTTTGTTTTTGGTCTTTCTTTTGAACTTGAACCTGCTATTTTTTCTTTCTAATTGTTCATTAAAACGAGTGAAGAATTATGGTTTCAGCACACAATTAATAGACGAATTAGGAATTAGCACAAATACTTTGGTGTCAATTATTTTGGTAGCATTTGCTTTCAAATAGATTTTCAAGGAAATATACAATATATTACCATGAATTAGTTATTGCAATTTGTTAAGTATTATTAATGACAGAACATTTGGGATGAGCTATAGAAACTTGGGAGTGCAAAACCCGTCCCATCTGCATACATGGCATTTCCTTATAGTAGCAATAATAATTATCGAGGACAACAAAGGTTTCTATGTTTTATGTATCGACTCACAGTAAATACTTGAATACCAATACCCAATACCACTACAAAATCTAGGTCAATGAAATTAAAAATACGTACCTATTTCTGGGCTAATAGGCTAAATACATCTCATATGCAAATGTTATCAAAATGAAACTGTTTATTTAAATAAAACCAAAACCACAACATATTTTTATCACTAATTCCGCAAAGTTAGGGGTTTTTGGAATATTCCTTAAAACAATATGTAAATACGGTTGGGAAAAAAATAACTAAAAATACACTAGAAAATAATAACAACAAAACAAAGGAGAAATTTATCTTTTTCCTTTTATTTCCATTTTGCCTTGCCACTTGCTATTTCCGTTCCCAAAACAAAATTGTTTTGTTGAGTTGTTGACAAACGACAAGAAAGTTACACGTTACATACGCTATCCATTGAAGTTTTTTCAGTGTTGCCAATTGAAGATAGATTTGTTTCAATAATAAATAAGGAAAATTTGAATACAACCTATTTCAAAATGGGAAATAGAATAAAAAATAGTAGCGTAGCAGTAGCAAGTAGCAAGTATAAGGTTTGTCCATTTCGGCTCAACTCACAAATTAATGTACCAAACGAAAAACTAAGAAATGTTGAATCAGCTTTCGTCCTTTTTCATTCAACGTCCTTAGAAAAGGACAACGATCCGTATTGATCGTAGCTGCACTTCTTTCGGCCAATACATAAATTTAAGTGAGAGAGAGAGATCAGCATAAAATAGGATACTTATGAAAGCATGAATGAAAAATGTCGTTTCTTGTTTGTTTAAAGCCTAGTACTCATAAAAGCGAAATTCGCTCTTTTTTGACATTGTTTCGATAATTTGACGTTTTATGCGTGAATCAAACATCAAATTCTCGAAGCAATGTCAAAAAAGTGCGAATTATGCAGTTATGAGTAGGTACTAGGCTTAATTAGGTAAATTATTCATTACTCAATGTTTGTTTTTTTCCCAAATCGTCCTCGTGGCTCCATCACTTCTCTTGACTCTATCCGTGCGTTCGTTATTTTGGTCTGTGTTCTCCGAGCTCGAGTTTACCGTTCGTTTATTTAAAAAGTGTATTCGGTGCAGCCTTATGCGCGTTCGTTTATTAAAATTTCAGTTTTTTTTTTACAGCGTTCAACTGCTCTGTTCGCTCGCGGGTCACGTGATTACGGCTCTGCTCAGCAGGCTCTGCTCTTTGAGCAAAATACCGAACGCAAGATAGTAGGTATATAGGTTTGTTCCAACCCGCCAAAAAACCGTCCCAAGAACGGTTCCCGGAACCACTATACGATTTTCGGATTTCTACGCCTACGCACAAATTTTACGTTTTGCGCAGAATCCTGACGGTGAATTGGTGAAATGTATGGTTTCCTGCTGGGTTGAAACAAAGATTAGTATTTGGATCGATAACAAAATGGGATGTACAATAAATATACAGAGTGGTCTTGGAAATTTTGAAAGTATGGCAACATAGCAATGTCGATGAGGGTTATTAACGGACGTTGAAGATAACTTGCCTATTTTAAATAGGACGCCCGCCTATATATATTTTTTAGCTGCTAAAACTCGTAGACATAATTTATAAATTATAAATACAAATTCTTATCCTTAAAGTCAACTTAAAAGTTGTAGGTTGTAGGTAGGATTAAGGCAATCCAAACCACGTGACATTCAAGATGGCGTGGCGGCCACACATGGGCCAAAAAACACACTGCTTATTTGCACGGGATAAAAAAGGAAGGAGTAAAACCGCATATTGTGCAACGTATTTGTCAAAAACAACTTTTGAATGTCACTTGTCAAGCTATGTCAAGTTGAATATCAATCGTACTTTTATTCTTCTCAAACCACGGGCAATAAACAAGGATAAGGAGATGTCCAGCGTGCAAAACCGAACACCTCTCACCTGTACTAGTTAGCCAATAGAAAGGCATTGCCTCGTGTTGCGCGCGCATACCAGGTAAAAGTAGATAGGTCTATTATCAAAATCAAAGGTGCAAGCAAAACTCTAATCAAAATAATTTGAAATACGCATGAAAACATATTCAAAACAAACTTGCTTGGCTGCCACGCCATATTGAATTTTCCTTTTTGACAGATGGATTGGATTGCCTAATGCATGAATTAATAGGAAAATGTTTGATTACCAATACTGATTTCAAAAACTGAAAATTTTCAGACTAGATTCACCCTATACAAAGTGACACACTCACTGTTTTTTTTTTTAAATGATGCTCAATAAGATAAAATTATGAAAATAGGGGGTACCTACGTGCGTGGTACGTAGGTCTAGAACATTCTTTATAAAATAAAGTATGTTTTTTTTTTAAGATAATTCCCCAAGTCAAAAATTTAGTAACTATGTTGGCAACACAAGCCTTTTCTACATAAAAATTTGAAAGCATTGACAATTTTACATTGTATTGCCAACATAATGTCATTTTGACTTTTATCTTTAAAAAAAAAAACAGATTTTATGTCATGTAGAATTTACGTAGAGTAGAATCTAAAAATAAAATAATACATAGGATGTCATATTTGAAATAGGCAAGTTGACATCACCTTTCGGTATAAGTAACCGGAGGGTGTCGCAATCTTAAAAATATTTTACCCCGATGGCTTCTATCTACATTGTTACGTTGCCGCCAAATTTTCGAATTTAACTTAAGTTCATTTTCCGAGAAATCGATGGGGGAGGGACACCCTGTATCATGTATTATTTTAGACTATCCAAGATGCTGCCAAACTTAAATTAAAATGTCCGCCAAGAGGTACACAAACCCTTTGTTTGCTTGTCATAGTCACGTGTTTTGGATAGGCTGATATACGCTAATACTTACTGAGTCGCAGTCCAATCGAGATATGTCGTATTTTGTATTTTTCATCCATATTTTAGGGTCTGCATCATATAAAAGGGCTTGTTGAGGATTATTCTTATGGACATCGCCCTAAAAAAAATATCATATTAAATAAGTATCCTCTACATAATTTTTTAAATTCTACTAAAGGTATCACAGCACCTAACTTGATTCGGCAGTTTATTTGTATTATCTATTTATTATTCGTTCACAATCCGATGTCCACAGGTAGGTACAGGTAAAATCACCTTTCAATGCTATTTGATAGGGAAAGGTGATAAATTTACCTGCGCCTGTGGACATCGGATTGTGAACAGGATAACAGGATATATTGTTCGTCGATTTTTAACTGATACTTGCGGTATGAGGACCGAAGGGGTGTTTCATATGGCAAAAACAGGTGTGACGTCAGGTAACCATTGGCGTTCTAATGAATCAGATTAAAATCGACGAACTATACAATCCGATGTCCAAAGGTAAAGGTAAAATTTATCACCTTTCAGTGCTATTTCATAGGGAAAGGTGATAAACGTCAATTTTTGATTTTAGTGGCCGTTTTTTTGATGATAATACCATGTATAAAGGGTGACTCAAACAACAATTTGCAACTGTCAATATTTCCGGAACAGTTGAAGATAGTAACTTGTTTTTGAGTCACCCTGTATACATGGTATTATCATCAAAAAAACGGCCACTAAAAATTGACGTGTCCGAGGTTTTTTGAAAAATATCCACCCTGTATATTTTATAGATTTTATTCCAACCTTTACGTGCTCACTGTATATCGTATAATTTTAAGCCCGAAATTTGTTTTGACTATTCGTATTGACTTTACTTATTATGTAAAAGTTGTCCCTTGATATCCGAGTATTGTACGCATAAATTTCTTTAATTTTACAATTTTTTAGCATTTGTCCAATAAAATAGGTGAATTGAGGGATCTTTCTACCAAGGTGAAGAATGACACATTTTTCGTCATTGAGAGGAAACTTCCAGTTAATGCTTCATTCCCTTACTGCATTTTTATCACGCTGTGGGTCATTTCTTTGTAACAAAGGATTGCAATAACAGTTGGAGTCATCAGCAAAAAAGGACTTTGATACGAGGAGACCAAAATTATTGAGTTTGCATAGCAACCAAAGACACCTAACACCTTGTCAAATGCCTCTCAGAAATCTATGCACATCTATGTATGCATCAGTTGGTTGTCCCAAGTCATCTCCCAATGTCCACTCTTGTGATTTTGCTAGAAGATTTGTAACTGTAGACCTACCACAGGAAGAAAAGCCATGCTGCGATGGATGGATGAAGTCGTTGAAAAATGGCGGTGAGAATTTCATATATCTGTCAAAACTGGTATTCCAACAATAAATTGACATGTTTTGATTGTTGATTTGAACCAATCAGATTGTAATTACGCGATAATTTGCACTAGTGCAAATTATCAGATAATTGCATACTAACTGGTGCGAAAACTGGTGTTTTGACATTTTTTGACAAAAAAATTAAATTTTTGATTTATGAATTTCTCTCATTAAATACAATTCGTGCAGTGGAAATATATTTATAATTTTCGACAAATTTGCACTCATGCGTTTTTAACTGAAAACTCTTTTTCAACTAAAAATGCATTCAGGCAAATTTCCCAAAAATTATCAATAATTTCCATTGCACTAGTTATATTGCTATTGATAATTTTTTTCCATACACTTACACAACATGGGAATAGTAAGACTTATAGGCCTGTATTTGAACACTGGAAGTTATTTATCGCCCTTTCTGTATATTCGGATTATAATTGCACTTTTCTACTGAGTTGGTAAACGGTCATTTAAATATCTCACCCATAGACCCATAACATGCGCAAATGGTTGCTTTAGCGATAATATGCAATTTTTCAACAAAAGTAATGGTGGAATTCCATTTGGTCCAGGATTGGACTCTATACTTTGAGCTGTTTTATTGCTGTCATGACTTTCTCTCCAGTTAAATCCATACTGCTGCGATTTCTTGTGCATTATAAAATTTATCTGTACGCGTCGCAATTTCTTCCGAGTTTCGGTGTAAACACCACTTTGAAATTGGTTGACAAAGCATTCAGATATTTCGGTATTATCACTTAAGTTTTTCTTTAAAGATGAGGTTTTGAGCTTCATCTCTTGTGCCTTTTTTGGATCGATAGATGCAAGCTACTATTATTCCAATACTTTCAATTTTAATTCTCAACCACAGATTCTACGACTGTATCTGTACTAAACTGCTCAATGAGGTTTGCAGTGCCTGAGTTACCTGCTATCGAATCTCTTACACAAATACAAATTCCACCACCTTGTTTTCCATGTCGATCTCTTCTGAAAAGAGTACCTCCATCCAGAGAGTGATAAGGTTGCTGGTAGATCTGTATGGAGACATGGTTCTGTGAGTAAAATGAATGTTGATTGATGTTGTTGGGATGCTTGCTTTCTACTGAAACGGATTTTCAGCTGCTTGCTGAATGATTCCAAAGTTGTATCGGACAGTTATAAATGAACGGTCGTCCTAATTTGAAGGGTACGTGTAGTATTCTAATAGTGGCAGCTCTTCATCAATTTTATATTTTGTAGGAATTCTTATGTATATAGGTATTCACCTGTAAGATGGGTTATATACATAGTTACAAAAGTTCACAGATTGAAAAATATTTGCACAAGCTAAGATAACAACGATATGTTGTAACTTTCAATGCATTGATGGATACTATAAAGTAGTATCAAATTTTTAAAGAATTTTGTTTTAACCATTTTAGCAGATGATTTCCGTGTTTCGAGTTATTTTCGCTTTCCAGAAGACCCAAGTAATACAGAAGTCGGCACTAACTTTTTGCACCTCCCTCTGAATATTGTCATAGTGGCGTAGATCCATTCACACGCCCAGTGTCAAAGATACCTGATAAAATATTTATCTTATTGATTTAGACAAAGATCAATAAACTGTAATAAATAGATAAGTGCAAGTAAGATAAAATAAATTTGAAACATGCACTAATTTGAATAGAGGGCGTTTTCATGCTTTATCTACCTTATGGGTTATTTTATAGTTATAAAATATATTATTGGTCTTATATTTTCATTAATCACAGAGATTTACTTACCCATAGAGGAATAGTCCACCTCTCTGTAGTCTCAGCTGGTAGGATTTTCATTTTTTTTCCTTCCTTATCCAAAATCCGGGTCATTATTTTTCTGAGCCGCTTTTGATCAAATACCTTTATACCTTAAAGCATTTTAACCACCTGGTTAAGTAGATTACAATAATATTTATTATTCACATTTACTTAATCATCTAGGTATAGTAAAATCGCACAGCAATCGCCTTTTTTAACAATACGTTAACTTTCATGGTTGTTTTGGAACTTTATAGTTAGAATATTTCTAAAATTATGGTAACTAAGAATAATTGATAATCTACACCCGACTGATAAATAAAACTAAATAACCCCTTTTTGTTTGAAACCTTGCTGATATTATTGATTATTTGATAGATGATAAGTTATATGTAGGTAGGTACCTAGATAGATAGATTTGATAAAACTATGTATGCAGTTCTAATATTGAACAAGTTACCTATATATTCATCTAGGCAAAAAATAATAATAATTTCAAGTAGGCAAAAATGTTTCATCATAAGACAAGACTTCATCTTTACTAAATGCTTTATTTGCTATCGCGACTCAGAGCGTTTGGGAATAAAGGCACCACCACCAGAAAGGAATAGAGTTACAGTATTTTATATTGTTACTCTGTATTTTTATATTGTAGGATGTATATGTACACAAATGTAAACTATTTAATTCATAACTTTCCTTCTAGCCTCCACCATTCCCTTTCAGCTTCAGAATTATTCACTTTTAGCTTGTTCAGTTCTTTGGGATCTAAAAAATAACAACGGAATTGATATTTTCCAATTTTTTAGCTAGTGCTGTTACCATTAGTTCTCAAATAGTCAAAAACAATTTTCGCAACTGCTCCAAACGGTATCGCCATATTATATTTAGGATACGTCACACTGCTCTCGTTCAGTCTTGTATTGGAAACTATTATTCCCAAAAGGTTGCCATCTAAATTGAACACACCTCCACCACTAAATCCTGGATAAACGCAACAAGTGGTTTTGAGCATATAATCTTGGTAGGCACTGATGATACCATGAGTCACCGTGATACCTTCTGGTTTGGTTGTTGTGGATAAGAGAGGGTAACCTGCACAGTAAACTGGATCACCTAGAAGAAAGAATAGATTTCAGGCATTCCAAGTACATGGAACTTATTACAAATTAAATCATGAATCTTCAATGTATTATCGCTGAGAAAATCGGACCAGTGCAAGCCTCTCTACCATTGTAATAACTATCTATTATTTATATTCACATCTCATTATCAGGTATAGGTATTTCTCTATGCTGTCATTTGTTTAAAATGTCTCATACTCCATGAAAATATAGATACCCAGTAATCTTACCAATTTTACAAAACGTAGGATCTAGTTTTGGCAATGTCATATACTGACTAAATGCGTTGCTCTTGATAATAGCTACATCAAAAACAGAATCGTTAGGTGTTTTGTAAATTAAATCAGCTACCGCCCATTTATCGTTCCATCTTAAACGAATTTTGTGATTATCTTGAATCTAAAATCAAAATTTGAAAACCTAATTTTGCTGCATAGCTTATATGCCTACCTACCACATGAGAGTTGGTCAAAAATATCCCTTTTTCTTTGGACAATAAAATACAAGTGCCCCAATTTGTACCACAATTGACTTGGGCTAAGCAATTTTCGAAAGAAAGTTCTGACTCAAGTCTAATACAATTTTTTTCAGCTGAAGAAATTAGTTGTCCTATAATAGGCCTTATATCAGCAATAAACGTAAGCCCTACCCAATCTTTTCTCCACCAATTGAAAGCTGAAATTATTATACCAACTGGTAGGCTTCTAAAATTCAATACATTATTATTGTGAAAGTTCAAAATCAATTATTTACTTTACGTAGGCTAAGCCTCCTTCACAACCAGGTGCACTAGTGCAATCACTAAGAAATAAATTAGAACCCTTTAATTGGGTACTAACAATACCTTCTGTATAAGAGTTCAAAAAAGATCTATCTCCAAATGGCGTGGAGACACAAAATAATTTATCACATTTTTTTATGTTAATTGAAGAAATATTTATCAGCCATGAATGTAAGATTGACTTCAAGATGTCTTGATCAGGGACTGTATCAGTTATGGTTAATATTATAAATACTGAAACAAATTTTTTGATGTTAATATTATTATCAGCCAATAACCAGTCTTTGAAGTCGTTTTTACAAAACTCATTCAAGTTTTCACATTTAAACATAGCATACAAATTGGCGGTTTTTGTTTTAAAAATAACGTCATTGCCTTGATTTTTCCACACTACATGAAACTTTACTGGTCTTTTTTCATAGATATTTAGTTTCCCTGGTTCAATATTTTCCACTAATTCTTTGTCTTCTTGTAGGAAATTATGCATTATATGTGAAGTGAGTAAAACATATTTTTCTTCTATCAGTATTCCTGATGTTGATTGGATGGTTGACGAATTTGGATCTTTTCTTTCGATTAAAACTGATCTGATGTTCATTTTTGTTTCGATAATTGTACGGAATCCGGAATCTGAAATAGAAAAATGTACCTACATAATAGATTTTTATCACATAAAACAAGTATGAAGAATAATTTATAATAGATCAATCAACGAATCAAAAAATAATACGGATTAGACATATATATATATATATGTGTGTTACAGTACTATGGACACTGGTGGTAGACAAAATTTTTACCAGACTAAGTAGTGCTGGATACCAGGTCATAGGCTACGCAGATGACCTAGCCATTGTAATCAAGGGCAAATATGAAGGCGTAGTGACAAGCCGAATGCAAAGTGCCCTAAACATCGTTAAAAATTGGAGCGAAGGCGAAGGATTATCCCTAAACGCAAAGAAAACAATCCTTGTCCCGTTCACAAGAAGAAGGAGGCTAAATCTGAAAGCCCCGATCCTTAACGGTACACAACTAACATTTTCCAACGAAGTGAAGTACTTAGGGGTCACCCTGGACCGAACCCTCACTTGGAACAAACAGAGAAAACATGCTCTCGAGCTACATCAGCCATTTGGTCATGCCGAAAACTTGTTGGCAAAACATGGGGGCTAAAGCCAAAGATGGTATTTTGGATTTACCAAAGTATAATAAAACCCATGGTCACATACGCCTCATTGGTGTATGTGACCAAAACCCAACAAGTCACTGCTCAGATCAAGCTCAGAAAGGTGCAAAGGCTGATATGTCTAGGAATAACGGGAGCAATGTCAACTTGCCCCACCGCAGCCTTAGAGACGCTACTCAACATGCCCCCACTTCATCTATGTGTGAAAAAGGAGGCAATAACCAGCGCTCACAGGCTATTCCAAATAGACAAGTTCAAGCCTGGTGATCTGAGGGGACATCTGCGAATCCTTGATTTAATAAAACTGGAGAATGCCAACAAACCAAGCGACCACATGATGGTCAGATTGGACTTAGAGATCCCATTCGCAGTGGTAATAAACGCCAATTATGGGAGAATAAAGAATTGCCACAAGCAGACAATGGAAGGAGCTGGACTGGGCATCTCCAGCCCTAACTTCAAGCTCTCCAAGGCATTGGGTAAACATCTTACAATATTTCAAGCCGAACTGCTTGCCATAGATATATGTGCACAAGAGTGTCTTAGCCAAAGCCTCAAAAGAAAACACATCTTCATACTATCGGACAGCCAAGCTGCCTTAAAAGCCTTAAGGGCTTTCAAATGCACGTCAAAACTAGTCTGGGAGTGTAAACAGACCCTAAAAACAATAGCGACACAACCAGGTAACGCTGATGTGGCTGCCTGGTCATCGAGGCATAGAAGGTAATGAAGAAGCAGATGGCCTCGCAAAGGAAGGGGCCTCAACACCATACCATGGACCAGAGCCCTACTGTGGCTTAATGAAAAGCCACATCATGGAAGAACTCAATAAATGGGAGAAAGACCAACTGTCATCATACTGGAGGCACACACCGAGACTCAGACAGTCTGAAGGGTTTATTACCCTTTCAGCAAAAAGAGCTGAACAGCTCCTAAGCATGAGCAGACCATACATCAGATTGGTGGTGGGACTGCTCACAGGACACTGCCCAGTAAAATACCATTTAAGGTTAATGGGCAGAGCGGAAGACCATCTCTGCAGATTCTGCTCAGACGCAATAGAGACCGCAGAGCACCTGCTCTGCGAATGTCCAGCCCAATTCTGCAAGAAGCTCAAATTCCTCGAGGGGGCAACACTGTCACCAGAAGAAGTGGACCAACTAACACCAGGAAAATAGTCTTCCTGGAGACAATTCGAGATGTAGAATCATGTACAAAATATCTGCAAAGGTAGCAGTGCTGAGCGGCTGAAAAGCCGAAACGACTCCCCCGCAATCTACAATCTCTATATACAGGGTGTCCCAGAATATGTGGGCAATTTCTCGGATTCAGATAAAACGCAAAAAAATAACATGACAACTTCCTATAAAAAAAAATTCCTACGGCCCCCCCCTACAAAGTTACGTGCCCCTAAAGGACGCCTCTGAAAATCGGTTTTTTTGTTGATAACTTTCAAAATACTTCGTGTAATTTTTTTTTCTTTTAATATGATGAATACTAGATAAGACCCCTTAAAATGGACCCTTTCAAACACACTTGGCCAATATATAGGAATAGCAATAATATTTTTAGATAGTTTCAACCTTGAACTAGAAAAAAGGTACTCCTATTCGATGTCGAAAAAATGAGCTGCTTTCGAGAAAAATCTGCTTTAGTGTATTAATGGTTTTTTACTAAATAATTTTTTATGTCGAGTCAACATGAAATCCTTCTAATCTTATGCATTCCATACCTATTTTAATGAGAGATGATTGTTCGACTCTCGACAATTCTTCAATATTAGCCCTTATTTCGCGACAGTGAAAATTAATCCTTTCTACTAATATTTCCTCAGTGTCATTATTGCGTTAAAGCTAGTTCGTCCCTGGCAAACTAGATTGATCAAGTGTGTTTGAGAGGGTCCATTTTAAGGGGTCTTATATACCGGGTGCCCACGAGATCACTTTCCGGCTGCCATTTTTTTATTTGTATATTAATATCAACGAAACTTGGTAGGGTTGATATTCTATCCAAACGCCATTTTTATGCATTTAAGACAAGTTTTCCTGACTTCCGGTTCAACCGGAAATGACCGGAACTTTTGATTTTTAAATGGCAAAATGGTATTTTTGCCCTAGCTCAAAAACTAGAATAGAAACATATCACTTTCATAACATTACTAAATGCAGTTTTTTAAAGCGAATCCAACGATATAATACACTAAGACATTATTCTTAATTTTCGTTCAAATATGTCTGTTTTATTATGTAGGTAATTTCTTTTTTCTACTTAAAATTTAATTTTGAAAACGAAATTTGGACAAAACTCAATTTAAAAGTAGTACATTAGGACGTAAAACGATCTGTAGAATCCAAAAAACAAAAAATATACAGGGTGTGTCATTTGAAAATCAAAAGTTTCGGTAATTTCCGATGAAACCGGAAGTCAGGAAAAATTGTCCTAAATGCATAAAAATGGCGTTTCGTTAAAATATCAAGCCTACCAAGAGAGGCGTCCTTTAGGGGCACGTAACTTTGTAGGGGGGGCCGTAGGAATTTTTTTTTATAGGAAGTTGTCATGTTATTTTTTTGTTTTCTATCTGTATCCGAGAGATTGCCCACATATTCTGGGACACCCTGTATATGTATTAGTAATATATGTATAATACCATTGTATAATAATACGTATAATTCTAGCTGATAAAAAAAGATTACAAATCTAAAATAAAATTTAAAAAAATTATTGGCCCATGAGGGGATCGAACCCGCGACCTTCGCGTTATTAGCACGACGCTCTAACCAACTGAGCTAATGGGCCTGTACTAAAGTTTTATCAAATATCGAGGCGGTATTAGCGGAATTGATTATTGATGTATTGATGATGAGAAGACATAGGAGTTAATGAATTATTATATTTGTAGAATCTGTAGACGATGTATAAGTTGATATGTTTTAAGTATCACAAACTTACGTTTTGTATTTATTATTAATTTTCTATTATTTCAGGTTAAAAGCATCACAAGTCACCGCACTAATATATGTGTTCAGGGTTCATTCTACCTATAATAAGCTTTCTCATTGGTCAAAGCATAGCTTAAGTGATGTAGGACAATATGGCGGGAAATTTATACCTATGATAGTATAAAATAGCTTTAAAGGATTATGGGTAAGTTAGGTAAGCAGGTAGGGACCTATTTTAGGGTAATCTACATTCAGACATCAGAAAGTAATTTCTATTTTATTACTATATCATGGCCATAAACAGGAGCCGAAACCCAGTAGTAGGTATAGGTAGGGGAGATGGGTATGGGTTGTACTAGCCCAATGGCCAATGATCTGCTTATTTATTTAAAATTAGGAACCCACTTTTTTGAATTTTAATTAAATTCAAATTTATTGCATTGTTAGTTTTGAAAAATTATTTTATTAATTTGAAAAAATACTTACCTACCATAAATGTTAGGTAGGTATAATACCTACTACGCTAAAACGATGAAATTTCAATTTTTTTTTTGATGAGATTTTGTGTCCTAATGGTCCCTCGTGATCCCCTGAACTCCATAAACTAAATTATTCCGAGACTTGGAGCCGCGGATTCTATGAAAAAGGCATTCAGAAGATTTTGCTCTTGCCCAATACCCGCGAATTTCCTTAACGCGATTTTTTCTCAGAATCTATTAAGTCCAATTGAGCTAAAATTTTTAAGGATTGTAGCCCGCCAGTGGGATAAGAATCGCTGAAAATTTCAGCTTTCTATCATTGAAGTTATGACCTTTCAAAGTTTTCCAAAATCTAAATCATAAGGTATAGCTACCTTCTTACTAAAATATTCTATGCTACTCCTTTGATACCATGGCGTAGTGTATAGCTACAAATACAGTAAAAGAAACAGTAGATTATTTATAATAGTGTCACGGCTTTGGGTTGCCGGACAGAAATCTTGGGTTCGTTTATTCGTTTATTCCAAAAATGAAAGTCCAATTAACACAGCAATAATTTATTCCACGTAACAATACACTCTGACACTAATTACTTTAAATACTAACTCAACAATTAAACTCTTTACAACAATAATCCCTATTTAAATCGTATCACAGTCGAACTGAAACTTAAACTTACAAAACAATGCCGGATGCCGGCCTTTTTATATATCCCTAAATCTATTCATGTACAATCTAGAATACACACGTTAATCTTATTTTCTCGATTATAGTAGAATAATTCGCTAGATTCTAGGATATTCGACAGGCATAGGATTCTTGACAGCCTGGCGGACGCCGTTCTTCTGGCGGCAGCGTTATCGTAACAATAGCGTTGCCAGCAGCGTCTGATTTTTCGTTCTAAATTTTGTGGAGTTTTCGTGAAAGATTAAGATTTTTCGTAATAGACTAATTTTTGGCTAGTTTGCTCTCTTCTAGTAACCAAAATACATCGTTTGGGAAACTTCACTTGACTTGAAAATTACGTTGAGGGTGGTTTAAGGGGGTAAAACTGATAATTGCGATTCATCGAAAAAAGGGTTTTTGTGAAAATATAGACTTTTCCACCCTAGTCTCGGGCACGGACAGTACTGGATATTATAGGTAGTACCAAAATACATCGTTTGGGGAACCTTACTTGACTTGCAAATTACTTTGAGGGTGGTTCAAGGAGGTAAGCCTAATAATTGCGATTCATCGAGAAAAGGGGTTTTCTGAAAATATGGATATTTCCACCCTTGTCGAAGATATTCGGTGGTATTCCGAATAAATGGGGTCATTGATCCGTAATTGACGTGTGTCGGTATCCAGACGAGGGGGTACGATATGAGATATATTATAGGAACAGCCAGTTTAGTGAAGATACATACCTACACACACAAACTCATAGGAGAGTAACAAAAGGAGATGATGTGCTGAGTGCTAGCATGGATGCAATTAGGTATTTGAGGAGTAAACAGGAATTAGATAACTTCAAACTCAGCAGAGTAGCTAAAATTATTCTTGAGTCTAATAAACCGTGTAAATAACTAGCATTTAAATTTAGAGCGGCGACATGCAAGCAACATGTTGCTCGGATATCGTGTTGATGCCGTGTTGCTTCGTCTGTATTGGGCCTTATTGATATTACGTCAGTCGATGGATAGACTTTATTTATGTACTTATAATATGCAAAATAAAATAGGAGTATAACTAATAATGTTATGTGTATACCTACTCCTACTTAGAGTCATTCCGGAAAAATATCGTTTCGTTCTCCACGTGTGTGCAATTGCTCAATTTTCCTAAAAATATTTTCATTTTGATTAAATTATAGAGAAAAAACGCCGGGATGTGGCACACACAAACAAGAAAAATGCGTAGGGATCCTTTTGATTAATCTGTCCTACAGTCCGGGATTATAAGGAGAATGTCCCCCCTGTTGTGCCTCCCGTATCTTCCCAGTCTGATTAGATCATATTCAATCATCGCGGAAGGAAAATTATAATAAGAGTTTTCTTTTCTATATACTGTTGACTTTAAATGAGTCCATTTTGGGATTTTCTTTGATTTCATTTTAAGAAAGAGTGTAGATGTATGAACTACAAAAAACGACTTGTTGGACATCAAAATAATAATAATAATTGAAAAAAGCAAGTAAAAATATATAGGGTGTCCCTAAAATCTGTGCTATGCTGCTATGCTAGAATCAACTCTTTCCTACAAGTTGTGAATAATTTATTTACTATATTGACCTAAGAAAAATTTGCTTTATAAGATAACTTCATATAAAATATGTTTTCTCTACAACTTCATTTATAGCCCAAGAAATTTATACCTGGGCCGCAAAAAAATTTTGCGAGGTCAGGCTGATTTTTCCAGGGCTCATTGGGGAGTGTGTCCTGAGTATTGAGCCAAAAAATCACACTCGAAAGCCTTGTGCGTTCGGCCCTATTGACCGTTTTATTATTTATTTTTTTTCGACAAAATGACCTCTACAAAACTTGTAGATAATTACATTCTGATCAACTTTGCCTTATGACTTTTTTGCTAGCTATTTTACTTTAGGCGCTGTGGCCATTTAAGTGCTTCAGAATTCGCAAAAAAATTAAATAACAAACCTGCAGATTATTATACCTAATAAAATTCTCTATTACTTTGCTTGATGATATTTTATTGTAACTTTATTTCTTTCGCTTGTACGGCCTTTTAGACATTTGAAAATTTTTATTTGACCTGGTGGACATTGTGGCATGCATAGCGTTTCTAAGGATTTGACACATTTTGCATGTAAAATGTGGCGTTTCGCGAAATTGAATTTCGCGGACGGTTGCACAATAGCTATTTGTGTATTGAGAGCGCAAAGTGTTACTTTGCCGATCGAAAGATATTGTTGATATTGGCAAATGCTTACTTGATTTTTTTTACAATCACATTTGATAAAAAATAATTCAGGTTCAAAGAAACCAGTAGTAAAAGTAAGCGCTTTTACTACTTTGCCGCTCTAGAGCGACAAAGTGAAGGATTTTGACGTAGTTTGACGCTCTATATAAAGCAGCAAAGTGGAGGTCATCAGGAAACGTCGACTTTGCAAGCACAAATCTAATCGACAAAGTCTACTTTCTAGGCCGATTGTATAAAAAAAACATTTTTCCTACAGCCGTGCGGAAAAATCGATTTTCCGCACTGATATGCGTGCGGAAAATGAGTTTTCCCGCACGGTGCGGTAAAACTTTTTTTTTTGACATATCAGTGCGGAAAAAGTTTTTCCGCACGGCTGTCAGTGCGGAAAAAATTTTACCCCACTGATATGTCAAAAAAAAAAAGAAAAATTTTACATTTTTTCGCCTGTAGGAAAAATATTGTACCTAACACTTGCGGAAAAATTCATTTTCCGCACTTGTTAGGTAAATAGCTATTTTCTACGAGCGTGCGCGCACGCATTTTAGTTTGGAAAGTTTTACTTTTCCGCAATAGTGCGGAAAAGAGTTTTTTCCGCACTAGTGCGGAAAAGTGACAGCCCAATAAACATTTTTAGTTATATATTGGTAATCGTATATTATACAACACTCACTTTAAATAACCCATAGTTCAATAATAATATGTGGGAAACATTTATATCACCCTTATAAAATCCTTAAAACACTTAAATGGCGGAGTTTATAAAGGTTACCGACACCTGTGTTAGTTACGTAATATAACTGTAAGATTTATAGAAGTATTTATTTAAATATTTCCAGAAACCTTATAAACTCTTTATAAAAATATAAATTAAATGATCTTGACACCTGGAGTAACAAGTCTTTTTTTGTCTTTGTCTGTTTAATTATTTTTGCTATGTATATGTTTGTTTGATGATGATGCCTCCAGCGCCTCCGTCTCATGAAGGGATAAATAAATGCACAAGGACAAGAAGTCCTATGTTGCACCAATGGCTTCTGCTAGATGAGTAATTGTTTCACATTCACATAAAAATAGTGTTGTTAAATCCTGGTCCGAATTTTCATTGCCAAGCGATTTTTACTGATAAATATACATGTTATACCTTCAAAAAATGCGAGCGCCTTTTGAAAGAACCATATTTGATTGTATTGCCATAAAAATATAAAAATAAAATTAAAAAAAAATATTAATATTTAAGTGATAAGTTCTTGAGAAAAAAGTTGCTTATTAATTATATGAGGTTCTTATGCATATTTATCACAAACTGTTAGCTAATTGCCCAAAATTTTTGAATTTCAGGTTGACCTGTGAAACAGCGTCCATTTCTTTTGCAAATCAAATATGGCAGAATGAAGACTAGTTTAATTTGAAAAATTAATTACCTTTATATTACCTAAAGGAACTTTACATAAATTATGGTACCCTATATAGCTTCTTTTGATTTTATAAAAGGTTCTTATAAAACTCTAAAGTTTATAATGGTAACAAAAATTACTCCAGGTACTATAACTTATAAGTTAGCAACCATCATCACACGTAACGCATGCAGGTTTCCCAGTTTTCCATGACGTATTTCGCCCAATCGCGTCACCCGACATAATTGGTCTAAAAGTGGTACGTGACAGCTTTATCCACATTTCTGAGTTCTGACCAATTATAATTCGTAAATAAGGGTTGAACGATTACGCAAAATACCCGCAGTGGGGCACTGGCATCAGCATAAAATGACAAAAATAACCTCACTTTTTTCAGTCGACTGCTCAGGTTTATTGTTTCTGTTTGTCTTGATGTGATGTTTGATAATACTGCTGGCCGCTGGCATTTATTTCACTCACCCAATTTGTTTATTATTATACCCCCTGCGAATTATATAAAGCATCTTTACATATCCAGAAGCAACAAAAATTTATGAAAGGCTCGTCGATTACTTCTATTTTTATAAAGGCAAAAATTATCACCATTTTATAACTAGGGAATGTGAAGTTATATAAAAAGGTAACCGCAAAATGTATATAACTTTATTATATACCTATTAGTAATAGTTACTCTAGGTTTTATAACTTGGTAATTGAAATATTTATGTCACCTAGTTATATACCTAGAGGTTGGGGGATATTATAAAACCCTTATATACTAAAAGCACTATTCATTCCTCTTATATACCATTTATATAATTAGACGTTACCATAACGAAAATTGTTTATTGGGAGGTGTCACTTTTCAAATTATAAGCTGACACACGAATTATTGAAACAAAAATGTTAATTATTAACTTATTTCGGTTTAAGCTTAACTTTTCTTGTCAAGCTACAAACTAATCGTTACTTTATGCCTGAAAATTTCTAAAATTTCATAGTACCTACATGTAACGTACTACAAATTATTGTTAAAAGTTCTCGATTTTATTGTATTCAGAATAAGGCACGTTATTTCAGATTTTTTTTTTAAAATTATCAAATCAATAAATTTTCAATACACTTTATTTGTAAGAGTAACCTAAGAAAAGAAAAAATTACTCGATTTGTTTTTAATATCAAATGTTGCAAAAGAGATGTTGTTGAATATTCGTGTTAAAATTAACATTAATTAGGTACGTTCCTTCTAGCTCGTAGAAAAAATAGTGTTCCTAACTCGTGCGGAAAGTCTCTTTTCCTCACTTAATTGCTTGCCGAACTCCGCTACGCGTCGTTCGGCAAACTGCAATCGCGTGCGGAAAAGTGGTACTTTCCGCACTAGTTAGGAAATATACTATTGTCACTTTTCAAACAGGTAACAGGTCCCAGTATTGTCAAAAAAAAACATCATTTCTATTCACGCTTTCACTCCGGGAAAATAATTTCACCGGATTAGTGATGTAATGTATCATTTCTTGGACTGAAACCCAAAACGTAATAATGGAGTACATTACCAGTAATTTTATTAAAGTTACAATGATCTGCAGGTTTGCTATTTAATTTTTTTGCGAATTCTGGAGCACTAAAATGGCCGCAACGCCTAAACTAAAATAGCTAGCAAAAAAAAGGCATGAGACAAAGTTGATCAGATTGTTATTATCTACAAGTTTTGTTAAGGTCATTTTGTCGAAAAAAAATAAATAAGAAAAAGGCAAATAGGGCCGAACGCACAAGGCTTCGAGTGTGACTTTTTGGCTCAATACTCAGGACACAGTCTCCAATCAGCCCTGAAAAAATCAGCCTGCCCTCGCAAATTTTTTTGGAAAACCCATAAATTTCTTGGACTATTAGGTTCACTTGACTGTAGATCACTACCTACCACCAGGGGCGTAGTCACCGGTGTTCCGCGTGTTCCACGGAACACGGGCCCGATAGCTCAAGGGGCCCGGTTCAACATGTCAATAATATTTTTTCTCCTATTAAGTATGAAAAAATCATGTGCAGCGCCGTACATGTAGTAGAAGTGGAACTTCTTAAAAACTACCCCCCCGCCCGCCCCCCTGATACAATTTTAAGACAGATGAAGTACCTACCACACAAAAGAGAGACGCGCATCTATAGTGACATCACAGGGGTATTGGATTCACAATAATAGGCAATCCTCTTTGCGCTTATAATCCTTGGTTTGTGGAATTAATGTTATAATGGATGTCTTTAACCGTGTTTTTACATCTTATATTTTACTTCTCTCTCGTGTAACGAAATTTGCCAAAACGTGACACATGTTTCAAATCATTCTCTATTGTTGTCGAAATATCAGATCGCTGCTTACTTTTCACTTCAAAAATACATTTGAAGCTAATTTATATGAAAATAAAAATCATAATGTAGCATAGTTGGGAGTAAAACTTTTTAAAAACTATACCCTCCCTCATACAACCTTTAGTATGAGTCAAGGTAAAGTACTAAAGGTATCAGCGCTTGCCGCTTGACAATAATAGGCAATCCTCTTCGCTCATAGTCCTTGGTCAATGCCGTCGTATCAAGATAAATCGATAACTTAGCTGAACCAGGGCCGTATCTAGACCAAAATTTTGGGGGGGGTTAGACAAAGTGACAAAAAAAAATTGTTACACTAGTAATAAAAATAAAAAAATTAAATAGGTAAGTATTTAATAAGTGAAAGTCGAAACCGGTAGTACATAAATAAAGAATTTTTGGGATTTTCAAGACTGTTTTTCTTCAAACCTATCATCTTCCCAAAAAATGGACCACATACAATCCTTATTTAATAAGTGTTGTTTGTTTTTAAGTCAAATTTTTTGAATTTTATTATTTTTTTTTGGGGGAGGGGGGTTTGAACCCCCAAACCCCCCCCCCCTAGATACGGCCCTGAGCTGAACGATTGTTTCTGATAGCTTGGAAACAGTCAGAGACTGTTGAAGGAACAGACTTCTTGTCTATCGTACGTGTAACAAAATTTGCCAAAACGTGACGTGTCTTTCAAATCAGTCTCCATTCTCGTCCAAATATCAGACCACCGCCAAAAGGCCGGTTTCTCAATAGCAAGTCGCCCCTGGGTTATCTATCCGTGCGTTCGTTATTTTGGTCTGAGTTCTCCGAGCTTGACTTTACCGTTCGTTTATTTAAAAAGTGTACTCGGTGCAGCCTCATTCGCGTTCGTTTATTAAAATTTCCGGTACTTTTATACAGCGTTCAACTGCTCCGTTCGCTCGCTGGTCACGTGATTACGGCTCCGCTCAGCTCGCTCTACACTTTGAGCAAAATACCGAACGCAAGGTAAGCATAACTCCAGGGTAAACATTGCAATTGGACACGTTTACCCTGGAAACCGACCCTAAGACGTTTCACTTCAAAAAAAATAAATAAATATATCTATATCTACGTAGATGAAGTTGTCGATTCTTATATTCGTATGTACAGTTATTTGTCTTCTGATTTCTTTTATTTTTTGACACTTTTCGATTTTACGGCTTGTCGCGTGTCGCATATCTCCAAAATTCATTAGTACGACCGAACCACTTCATAGTATGCCAGGATTGCCAGGTATGCCAACTCAAGATACTGCAATCCCTGCATTGCGCTTTGTTGTGCTCAAGGTTGTTTAATAGAAGGAGGTTGCCTGATAACTGACGTCATCTGAGGTGCCGATACATAGTGCAAATCTCCATAAGGCACCTCAGATGCGTCATCAAGTAACCCATTACCAGACAACCTTATATTGAATATGTTCCATACTTTAAGTTCACCCTGTATATTTGAAAAAGAAATATATATAACTATCATTTTCCAATTTTTTCATCTCGCAGGGGTAGGGGCCCGGTAAAATTTTTTGAACACAGGCCCGAAGCATCGTTACTACGCCACTGCCTACCACCAATTTTTGATGTTTACCTCAAAACACTCCGCTCCATACAGGACAAGTGTAAAAACTTATGGATGTTTTTAGTTTTTAGAGATTTATTACCACTAAATATTAGGTAGGTATTCAAGAAGAAATGAAATGAAATGAAATGAAATTAAATGAAATTATACGTCCCATTGGGAGAAAAGAGAGTGGATTATTCATTTTGGGGGCAGTGTACAAAAACTACTTCGAGTGAATTTTTGGACTCCTTTTGCCTCCTATAAATGTCTACTATGCTGGACATAGGCCTCCTCAATTCGTTTGCAAGTCTCCCTTTCTCTAAGGAATCGGAATCCAGTTCGTCTTGTTCCATTTTGGGACACTTTGAATACGAAAGGATTGCTACTTCGACTTTTTTCTCGAAATTTCGACAATATAAAGTTGAACTGGGTTTTTTTATGTGTGACAGTTGTACAGTTGCGATAAAAAAAAATGTAGTACAAGAAAAATCTACAGAATCTCCTGGTCTATTATACATTAATTTAATTCATAACCAAAAATGACATATTTTTGGCATTTTTCGACAAGTTTTTAACCCAGAAAGCTTCAGATGACATTACTTTGGCATTTTTCCACCCGTTTTTAACCTAAAATATGTCATTGCCTGTCAAAATTTTGTATGTTACACCAAGAGCTCAAATTGGGGTTAATAATTTTTGTACTACTTTTTTTTTATCGCAACTGTACCTATACCCACGCCTTCATAAGTAGGCATTACATAAGTATGTATAATATAAAAAAAATCATCATATGTTGATTGCATTTTGTGCAAATTTTTAGCTCTATAACTAGCTATGTTGATGTTCATTCCATGCTTTTTCTGTATACACTTTCTATCCGCGAAGAAGTTTCTGGACCACCCTGTAGTTGTATAAGAAACCGATAAACATCAGAAAAAAAAAGGGATGACGTTTGATTTAACAACCCTGAGAAAGATAGAGGCGTATATAAAAGGAAATCAAAATGTAAGAAATTGGACAAAGTAAAATCGTGAACGTCGCGGTGCGGGGTTTCAGAACAAGCCGGACGTCGCTTTTTCGTGCCGCCGTTCAAAGTGGTCCAGTGTATTGCTGGTGTCATATTTTTGGACATTTTTTCAGCCAAAAGTCCAAAAAGGTAGGTTTGTTGTTTGTTGATATTCTTAAAAGTTTAGAAGTGTAAAGTTTTTGGGTTTTATTCTTACGGCCCAATTTGCCATCCAAAAATGGAAAATCATGCCATTGGTAGAATCACATTTTTTTTTTACAAAATAGGTAGGTTATAGTCCAATTTTGTGTTTATTTTTATATTTTTTTTTCCAATAAACCAAAATTTTCTCAACTTTTTTTCGTTTAATAGATAACTTTATTACAACAAAATAATAACCCAACAGTTTTAGGGGCATTTTGGATCAAAACTGTGTCACAATTAGTAGCACATGGCACAAGAAAAGAATCATTTTTTGAAAACAAAAGTCAACGAACTATTTAGTTAGTTAAAGAGCCTAGGCTCTTCATCGATTTGGTACCTATATACAAAATTGACTAATGGTATTGGTAATTAATCAGTAATCACACCTTCAGTTCATTTTAAAGTTAATTGAAAGACTTGTATGTAAAGGATGGTCCAAATTGGGCACTTTATTATGGAAACACATCCTTTATTTTTAGAGATAAAAAAAAAATGGACCCCCCACTCTGAGCCTCAAATTTCATGAAATCTTGATTGGTGCAAACCGCACTTTGATATCTTCAACCGTTTCGCCGCTATTTGGCTCCGATTTCGAGATATTGACCAGAATCCGATTTTCTCAATGGGACATGCTTTATATTAATAGCTCATTGCATTGGAAAGCTCTGCTTTTGCTGATTTCCATGAAATAAAGTTCGATAGGTTTATCTCCAACGGTTTCCGAGAAAACAAACTATTTCGGTTTTTGTCATTGGAAACAATGTGTTGGAAAAGGACTTTATTTCTGTAAGGAAAATGAGAAAAGTCTCTTTCTAACAAATTGTTTTTTATGACAAAAACAGAAATAATGTTTTCTCTCGAAAATTATTAGAGATAAACCTATCGAACTTTATATCATTGAAATTAGCAAAAGCAGAGCTTTTCAATAAACTATTAATATATAGGATGTCTGTCCTATTGGAAAAAATCGGATTTTGGTCAATATCTCAAAATCGGAACGAAATAGGAAAAAAATTTAATTCTGCTTAAAAAAGTGCTTCTAGAAAGTCTTTACGGAAATCAATTATTTTCAAAAATAAAAGAGTTATGAAGGTTTCACAGTATTGCTCAAAATGGAGAATCGCCCTCTAGCGGCTGAACGGATGAAGATATCAAAATGCGATTTGCACCAATCATAATTTCATGAAATTTGAGCTTCAGAGTGGGGGGTCCATTTTTCTCTAAAAATAACGGATGTTTCCATAAGAAAAGTGTCCAATTTGGACCATCCTGTACAATTTCTTTGCTATTCAATTGGAAAATCTATGATTGAGAAAAAAAATTCAATTTTCTAACTGAAGATCTGTTGTCGTTAGTTTGTTGTTTTATTATCTGTACCTTATAAATAAATATGTATATTTTCCTAATAAGATTTTTGTTCACCAAAGTTAAGAAAAAAACACCCTGCCTGGAACTGTTTTGCACTAAATGAAAAAATAAAAAAAGTAACACTGTTTCCGCCCGGGATCGAACCGGGGACCTTGTGCGTGTGAAGCACACGTGATAACCACTACACTACGGAAACTGTTGATAGAATTTGGCTTTCAGCGGTCTACTTCTGAAATCAAAAATTCTATTTTCAGGCTCTTGAATTTTTTATTGCATATTTTTTTCTTGAATCTCTCTTAATTTTTTTTTTCCCTATAAGCTACATTATGAATATTATGATAAATATCCTTTATCTTAAAGCGGTTTATTATTTGTACTTTATTGACGTAAACACTCACTCAACACCCAACTCCTAGGACTAGGTATACATTTTTTTATATCTTACTGTACTATTATAACCATATAATACCTTGGTTACGATAGTCATAAACAGGATCTTAACTCCCAAGGGAGTTAGGGATTTCATAACTCCCGCGCGGGAGTTAAGGATATCGTAACTCCAAGGGAGTTAAGGATTTCCATAACTCCCGCTTTTACCTTGAATAGGTAAAACTAGAAATTTTGGTTTATAGTTAATTCCTTTATAAAAATAGACAGAATACAGTAAATTCAGTAGGATATAAAATTATCTATGTACCACGGGAATTATCAGGTGTTAATACCCACAAACGTTACCCTGGGGTATTAACACCCCCATAATTCCCTTGATACATAAATAACTATTATGTATGGTGTAATTTGTTGGATTTTTTCTCGCTAGAGGCAGCAGCGTCAATCAGCGCTAATATGACGTTCTTGCAATTAATTTTGCGTATTCTTCTCGCTAGATGGTAGCCGTCAACGATCAAGTTTTCAATAAGAGCATAATTTATTCATTGCACTAATTCGTTTATTTTAAAGTTGTTAAATATTATAAATTAAATTACATATAGGTAGGTATATCCAATGTTGATCCGATTGGTTCATACTCTACTGTGGTCGGGAGTAGTTTGATTGGGACGATTCTCGAAATAAATTAAATTAGGCAATTCAATCCATCTGTCAAAAAGGAAAATTCAATATGGCGTGGCGGACAAGCAAGTTTGTTTTGGATATGTTTTTATGCGTATTTTAAATTATTTTGCTTAGAATTTTGCTTGCAAGTTTGATTTTGATTATTTATAATAAAATATTTGTTGACCCACATAGCAAAATTGCATCCTTAGAATGTAATAAGAATGTTCTTTTTTTAGGAGGAATGTGCCTAGAATGTTCGCCAAAACCATTGCGAACGTCCTGAGAATGTTCTGAGAAAAGATTGTAGAAATACTGTTTGCAATACCCAAGAACTTCCTGGGAAATACATAAGGATATTCCTAGAATATACCTATGATATTCTCAGTACATCCTCAAAAAAGAATATTCCTGTTTGATTCTAAAAATATTCTGGAAATGTATATTCTCACATTCAAAGAATGTTTCTATGACATTATAATTATGTTCTCAAAAGAATATTATACCAATATGCTTGAAATATTCTTAGAATATATCTACATATATCATTCTCAATATGCATCCTAGACATAACATTCTTGTTTGATTCTAGGGATATACTTGGAATGTTAATTTCCGCTTCCAAATAATGCTCCTTTCAGCCCTTTTATATTAAAGGCAGTGAAAGAGTTGTTGGAAAACTTCTCTGGAAAACACAAAGTATTTAACCAAAGCTCCGGTTTCGACCTTGTTATGTTCTAGTAAGCACGCTAACTGAAAGAAACAGGTTCCAAGGTGATTCAAACGCTAGGCGAGATGTAGATCTTTAATAGCGCGTGACTCCCTCTCTTGGAAGTTCTTCAAAGCAAAAGAAAAAGAATATACCTATAATATTCTTAGTAGGTTCTAGATAGAGCATTATTGTTTAATTGCTCAATTAAGATTTTTAAGTAGGTACTTTAGATAATTAGGTGAACAATATGAAAATATTCTTATCATGGTTACCTACCTACATAAACTTCTCAGCACAACTTGGTAGGTATATTCTTAATACTTGATAGAGATATTAGCCGAAAGAACATTTTTTAGGGTACATTATAATAATGTTCGTATGACAATATTCAAATAATGTTATATAAAGTAGGTTCTTAGCACAATCGTTCAGGTAGGTACATAGAAGCAACATTCCTAGTACATAAATAGAACGTTCAAAAATGAATATTTCAATCGAAACAATCTTAGAATATTCATTAAACAATCCTTAAAGAACATCCCAAAAAGCACTTTGAGGGAATATTCTGAGAATATGAATGTTCTTTCACTACTGTTATGTGGGTAGGTATAGTTTATTCAGAGATCTAAGAAAAGTCGTAAAATGCAATAAATCATCTGCCTCTTTGTTGGGCCACGTGCTTACACCCCTTATATTGATAAAAGCAGCAGGAAAAATAATTTATGGCAGCCCCGTTCAGGATCGCATTTGATTTTGTTTTGAATATGGCAATATTAATTCAGATTTTTTTGTTTTTTCTAATAAGGAATAGTGTTAAAACAAGTTTGCAGATTTCTAGTGACAGTAAGTTAGTAAATAATAATAACCGGCATCGGCAGGCGAAATTCCGACGGAAACGTAGGTACAGTCCGTTTCATGAGGGTTCATACTTTCGTCAATAACTAATGTCTATGGCGTCAATAATTTGTTTCACTCAGGTTTTAAGATAAGACAATTGACCACGTGGGTATGAACCCTCATGAAACGGACTGTAGACCTACTTTTCAATATTACAACGGTATTACCTACCTAAGAATAGAACAAAGGCATTAAATCTTCCATGAAATTTGGAAGGTAAACAAAATAAAATTGAATAATAATTAGCCTCTCGCACCTAATTCATAGTAGGTTTCCCACCCCAATTTAGTTGCAGTTAAAATCCACATCATTAACATAAGTTTACCTGTTCAAAAAGAACAAATAAGTATAATAAGAAGATATTGCAAGATATTTATTCATATTGTTATTTTGCCCTTCGTGTGTTATACCTCGAGTTATACTGAACAGTGTTTATTGTAAAATGTGGCGTGCATGGGAAGAAGAAAGTCATTTTGCGACTGAAGAAATAGAAAATCGTGAATTTCAGCAACCATCAGCAATCGATGAATCATCAACAAGCAGCAGTGTTACGAATGATAGTTGTAAGTCACGTCTACACTTATCCATAGATGCGAAAAAAGTTATTGCAAATGTTTATACCACATTGGTAGAACGTGGAATGCTTCAGGCAGAAGCGTTGAAAGAGACTATTTTGCTCACAAAACATTCATATTCAACAGTGTGGCGCAGTGTAAATAAGCCTGCTGTTGAAAGGAGAAAAAGAAAGGATTCAGGAACTCATAAATCTCTAGAAAGGGGCGACGAGGAGACAATTCGAATAAAAACTTATAAAATGTATGAAGAACAAATAATACCAACCTTAGTTAGTTTAATGGATAGATTAAAAAAGGACGAAACCGGCATAAATTGCAAAAGAACAACCTTATGGAAGATT